GTAGCATTATGGCATTATACATATGGTAAACATGATCTCAAATAGCAGTATGAAATTGGTTTAGCATGAATAGTCTTCTTAAAATGAGAGCTGAGCTACAATTAGATTTTACTTTCAACCTTCTTTGGACTGAAAGAAAGTCAGTGTCATCAGAAAAATCCTGCTAAGACACAGGCACGTTTGCATGCATGTTTGCATGCAACTAAAATCCATATCTAGTGGAAGCACTTACTTAATTGCATTTTCTAAAATGGGTTTAAACTAAATTCTAAAATCCAGGCTCTTTGCATAGCAAATGGGCTTATTTATGGTAAACATTCACTCCTTTCTTTGGTAATTACCCCAGGTCATAAGTAGCCGATAATGGAAACTGACAGGCAGTAATAACAAGGAGGTCTCAAAGGATTATTTTCAAAGAAAGAATAACAGATCTAAAATACCTACACAGTGTTAGTGCCCCAGATTATTTTTATTTTCCTCAAAAAATAATTGCTGAATCATGTACGTGGGAAGAACAGCCAAGACTTAAAAGTCTCTTCAAAACAAATGCGTGAGTTCTGCCAATTGGCATCACTTAAAACTATTTCTAGGTGTGTGTCAGGTCAAGAGGGGCACCTCAGCACACGCAAATTCAATGGGATGCAATAGCCCATGGATTAAAAAAAGAATAGTTTAAAGAGCAATATGCCAAATGCACATGCTTCAGGGATGGAAAAATTACTTGTGAACTATGGCTGGTCACATTCAAACTAAAACTCCTCACTGAATCATGTTGACGTCAGTGAAAGAACAGCAGCATTGATCTCAATTTTTAGCACGTCAGAAAAGATGGAACAATCTCTTCTAGAGCTTATCGATAATGAAAATAGAGCCACTGGAAAAAGGTCCTTCTTGCCAATAAGTTCTAGAGCTAGAAGTAAAGGTTTCATCTGTTATGAAAATTAGCAAAAAGAAATGCGACCTGGAATGCAACTGTTGGGTAGCTGTCCTGGAATGGGGAAAGAAAAATACTAGTATAATGAAACATTTTACTGAAGTGACAAATATTAAGGGAAGTCCAATTACCCAGTGACATCTTAAAATTCAAGACACTTCAGTTTTGCAGACACTTTTTCAGTACAAAATATGGTTTGTGGATTGCAATGTTTACACATCAAGAAGCCCAAGGGCAACATGAACACGTAAACATACATACCTACAGAAAAGCTTCTCTCATCCAAATGAGGCTGAAGCCAGAAATATCTGGTGTAGTTTAAGAAATTAATTTAAAAGGAGGAGCCTCCTGCATGAAGCAGAAATGTGGAAGTACACAGTTCTGAAGAACTGAAAACATTACCAAATTATTKCCATATTTTATGCATTTAAATAATATATTGCTTTTCTATGYTAAGTATATYACAAATATTGGATAATCCTTCCCCTTATTTTAAGGAAATTATGTAAAATTCTACATAATATTTTGTGTACGATTTTATTTATGTAACTGTTTCCGCTTTGCACAGTTCTTTCCAGGTATGATTTTTGCATTCAAAGAATGGTGAGGAAGTACCAGTAACTTGCACACTGCACTAATCTAGTAGCTAGGCAGAAAAAAACAGGCACAGGACCACTCATTTTTTGTATTATAATCTGATAGTGTCAAAGTGTCTTGGACGACAAGAAAAATCAAAGCCCATGTAAGAATATTTGTGTTTGCCTTTGTCCCTGTAAAAGTAAACATTTTTAAGATAGGTGAAATGGCTTATTATTATTATTTTTATATATCCATTGGACATAACAGAGTTTTTTCATTATTTGATAGTATCCAATAGCATTTTACAGATGTAAGGTAGAAAACTGGATATATTCTTCCCATGGCATCTTAAGAAGTAGCCAGCATTGAAACTCCAAGAAGAACCAGGTTCTATCATCAGCAATAGAGTGATGCAGAGATTCATGTATGGAATTAGATTCAACACAGGATAAGTACAAAGTGACCCATGTGGGAAAAGATATCACCACTCACACAATAACGTTTAAGTTTCTGATTTTGGTAGCAGGACAGAATTACTTTGGTCTTTTAGACTGTGCTATCCTCAATTTCCATCAAAGATAATTGGTTGATGAGATCTGCTAACTCAGTCACCTCTTCATAAACTATTTTGCTAATAAGCAGCAAACAAGCAACAACAAAAAACTGTTATTCAAGATCTGAATTTGACCCTTTCTTTTAGATTTGAAAGTCTGTTTCCAGACTGTGACTTCAATAAGGACTGAAATAACCCTAAGATTCACAATAAAGGTGCAGAAATTTATGTTATGTTTAAGACAATCTGGTTCTCCTAAATGAAGATCTAACATTTTCACTATACTAATAACTCAGATCTTGCCTCTCATAATTTCATTCAACTGCAGCTAACCATCTATGTCCTAGTCCACAAGATATTTAAGAAAGAAACTTTCTCAGCATTGGTTGCTTTTCTATTTCCTACTACAATAGGGTCTGGAAAAAATGTATTTTAATATTGCCTACAAACCAAGAAATTACTAAAAGCAAGTTGTTTTGCATTGTATGAAGATGCAAAACTAGAAAATAAGCCATAGGAGATAATGTCTGTCCACTGAAAATGTAATTGTGAATGAGCGGCAGAAAGACTTTGTCTTTCAAAGAACTAAGTGTGCTGCAAAACTCTAAAGTGGAAATTATTAAAAAAAAAAAAGCTGTTCAGAACAGGAAAATATTCTAATTATTTTGCCTCACAGTAACCTAACATCYATGACTATATTTGACTACATTATTTGCCTAGGGAACTGAAGGCTCCATAACATTTTAAGATGTACACAGAACACAGTACACAGGGCTAGGTGAAACTCAAGTCCACTGAAAGCRAGCCCAGGCACATAACAATCTCAACAGACCTTTATTGGGAGTATTAGAATGCAGTCGACATTATTGCTATTATAAAAAACACACCACAGAAGAAAGTAATTTGCTTCCCTCATGGAAGAGTTGGTAATAGTGCACGGCTGCCTCTTTCAGACCGTTTAGTGACAATACACTGACCCACACAGCCAGGACTGCTGCTGGTTTTAAAGAAAACCAAGTTGCTGTTCAAAGGAAACAGGAGCTGAACCAGCATTAGCTACTCAGTCCATAGAAACTGTGCTGGCTCACACAGCGCCAGCTTATACACAGACCCAGTGTATACAGATCAGGGGCTTGATTTTGAAATTTAATCCTAAATAGGTGTTTTTATCTCTTTGTTCATTTTAACACCAGTTCATTTTCTTCACAGGTACTCCAATTTCTTTATTATTTTTTTCTTCATAGATTTTTTTCAGTTGCTCAGGCTGGTGCAGAATGGCCACCAAGACCACAAGCTGCTTTTTGCTGCAGTGTATTTTCACCATCACGACATGCTCTATATTTTTTCCCATATATAAAGATATATACACATAGTGTATAACATTTATTGCTAAAGCCAGCTCCCACTACATCCAGTGCTCAGGACATAATATAGCATATTAAAAAATATTACTGAAGCATTTCAAATGCCCCCTGTAAAATGACAACCAAAAGCTGTATGGCTATAGTACAAAAGAAAAAAAAAAACAATTAATAAAACATGAGGATAAAAGTGATTKTAAGTACAGACTGCAAGATTTTTAAACATTAGAGAGAAAATATAAGGCTCCACATTCTCTTAAAATACCCTGGCAAAAACGGTCCCTTCTGCGTGGGAAAGTATACATCTTGCATACATCTCCTTCATACACAGCTCTATGTGATGGCAATAGGGTAAGGATCTGAAGATGTGCTTTTTGTTACGAAAAATATTTTAAAACAAAACAAAATTCTTTAGCAAGAATTGTATAGGTTCAGAATCTGTTTTTGATTTTTAAAGATTCTATAAACAAATATCTTGCAGTTTGCTTTCAAATAGAAGGGAAAGAGTTTTCAAGAAACTTTTTAAGTGGTTTTTTTMCCCTGATTATCTCACTGTAAAGCTCTATTGTCTCCCTTTAATCACAACTTAGAGTTTGGCAAGGAGACATACTAACATCAGGATAGGTCTAGCTAAGTGAGAAGGCCTATGGGAGCAGGGGAGATCACCATTTGCGCACCATCAATAGAGGTTTGCTAGAGGAAAGCAGCAAAAACACCTACAGCCTGGACACAATCCAATCCTACCACACAGAGCCGCCAGAACAGACTTCAGCCTGAGGATAAATAGAGTACAGAAGACTCTTTCCTTGGGTGACCTTCCCAAAGCAACCAGAAAGAAGTAGGGTACAAGAAGAAAGKAGTGAATCCCTCCACGCAGAATGGAAGAGGTCAGAGTGAAAAAGGCTGGAAAACAAAAGGACAGACAGATGCAAGCTGCAAGACAGACAAGGAAGCACAAGGAAGGGATGAAAGGAAGATGACAGGCAGATGTTAGTCCTATGAAGAGATTACATCCTAGTAAAAAGGATTAAAATTCTTCACTGCCTAGCAAATATCCACCAGAAAACTGCAATTTATGCTGCTTATTATTTTAAAGATGATGMCAGCTTTCTACTGCTGCAAGTTACTTCCTATTTGAATAAAGATCCATACATCTAAGGCCAAAACATCCAATATAAGGGCTTCACCCAAACTACAGCTACCCCCAAGAATCAATGGTAGGAAGCCTCTTCCAATTCATACGACTGGAAGTACTTCTGTTTTACAACCAAAACACATGGGAAACATCCATCCTGTGATATCTAATTGCATGATCAGGACTATGTTTCATTTATGACTACATTATTCATTACTTATGTTCTACTACCATCAATATGACTGAAAATGCAGAACTTCTGCTGTGGATGCCCACATTATGGTCACATGGAGAAGTGTTTGATATGAATCAGTCCCAAACAGCTCTATGAAGAGGTGGGTGCARAATCACCTCAGAAAAAGTTGGGCCTCTGAAGACTCCACAATGTTGCCACCTAGCTCTGTGAAAACACCAAAGGGTTCAGTAGAATGGCACTTCCCTTTTTATTATTGCTAAGCACTTAAAATTTAAGATGAAAGCTGTAAACTCAGAAGTTCCAAATCAACTTTTATATACATGTATCAAAAACAGACACTACATCATTGCATACTTTTCCGAGAGAGCCTGCCTCTTGCATTGAGTAGCAAGGCAACGCATAGCCAGGTAAATGTTGAAGTAAAGATGTGCAGATCTGAAACTCATTTACCAAGAAAGCTGGAAGACATGAGGAGGACAATGCTTACAGAGAAAAGATTCTCTCGCTAAGGTCAACTAAAAGATACACTAGYATGAACCAGACCAGACAGGGTTTGACCAACAGATATGCAGAGCAAGCAACCAAGTTACATGCTGCACAGAACACTTAGCACCGTTGTGGCATTTGATTTGCAAGTGCTTAAAAAAAGAATAAACCTGAAGCCTTTAAGAGCACCCCAGCATTTGAATACTTGAGAAACTGAGGCCATAACCAGTGTTCACGTTGCAGRTTAACATCACAATTTGAGAAAGCAAATTCAAAAGTTTGTGAAGCGTTTAAGCAGTACACAATGTATTACAGAACTATCCAGAAGGAGAATGAGACTTTATCTCAGGTCAGATATGAATGACTGTAAGAATTTCTGTACTACTTGACTACGTAGGTTAAGAAGGTAAAAATAAATATAATCATTTTGCAAGCATAGGTTGTCCTGAATAAGGCAGGATCCTCAGGGGTAGAATCATGTAATCGTGTGAAGTTAGGAGACTGTTACATATACAAACGGAAGACAAACTAAAGCTGCAAAGGCAACTTTAATTTTGACCTTACAGCAATTTCCTTTTCAGGATACTATTCTTGCATCTCTGCACTAGGAATGGAACTTTTTTCCTCCCACCTTAACTCCTTCTGCCCATCTCCACCTTCAGTTACATTTACAACTATATTACATCACACCATGCACACTGCGTTATATTGCTATAGTGTATGCTTTAAAAATTATGTAAATACACTCCACTTTGTTTCAAAGTAATTCGTCTATGTTTACGCTTCTCCTACAGAGTACACACAGTACCACATTCAAGGATATGTAGCAAGTGAATTGTATATAAAAAGGTCTCACATATCAAAACAGAAAGCCGGTCACTCAGTTTGTATTCTTTTAAGCACCTATTTAAGCATCCAACTATATAGCATATCAGGGTATTTTATTTAACAGTTACTGTGAAAGTACCAACAATTCCTCAGCTGTTGCATTCTCTATGCATTATGGAGGTGCCAATCAGAATTCCATAATCAGCTTCCAAGTTCTACTTATCACACAGATTTGTGGTATCTCCTGCAGGACTGATCCAGAAAACTTTTTAAATAGTAACTGATTGGCAACAGGGGTTTACATTTTGCTTCAGACACCAAGAATGATCACTGACTTCAGAAATGATAGGCAGATGGGAAACATCAGAGAAAATATATTTTAGCAATGAACAAGTCATGCTGCTCTCTTTCTCAATAATGGTTTTTATCATGAAAGTCCAACATACTAGTTGCAAAATCTTTCCTAAATAGTCCATCTTTGGCACTTTTTTTGAATTTTACAAAATCCTCAAAAGACATTTCAGGAATTTATGATTTCTGATGGTCTGTACATCACTTTTTCTTCATTGGTACGTAGATCAGGAAGGAAAGTGAAAAATATAGAGTATGCAGAATAGTTTTAATAAACAGTTTTACATACAGTACCTTACATATAGAACAGTGTGTTTGCAAATTTAAATAATTTTTGAATGTACAGTGACTTGTACTCTTTATCAAAAGGTAAATTCAAGTTTACTGTCTATCGGTTCTAAAATGCATTTATACAGATAACTAGAACTGATAAACAGATGTGAGGCATAAAATGTTCAAGTATCTTAATGTCATCAGTTAAATAGCCTCCTTTTAACAGTCATATTTTACAAATTTCAAAACCTGTACATACATTATTTTCAATTTTAGAAACTGCGTGTTAAAAGGTAACATTTCATGTTAACCACCAGTTCTTATAGTCTATTGTAATAAAACTAGACATGTGTAGATATAAATGTATATGGTATGTATATATGTACATGTGTATCTATACACATATACATACACATAGACGTATGTATCACTGGGTACAGCGGCAACTTATAAACACAAAGAAAGTCCTGGGCTCAAAATCCAGCAAGATCTAACAGAGCAACTAGGTTGCCTTTGGTTTCATGATGTTCATTCACTGAAGTGGACAGTTTTTTAAAAAACATAATGTATATTTGTGATATTTATTCTAGTGGTTTAGTAATTCACAGCCACAGACATTCTTGCTGCTCTTGTCATTCCTCATCCCAGCTGAGGTTGATAAAGTTTCAAAGGGCTAACATGAAAACAGAGCTACCCAGGACAAAAACTKTATTTTGAATCCTGAATACTGCAATAGAAAATAAAAAAAAATATATATATATAAACTAGATACACTTTTGGATGGATTGCTGGCACCAAGTAGGACTYTGGGGAAAAAAATCAAAAACAACAACAACAAAAACCCTTCATGTAAGTCATATGCAAACTCTCATCCCAGTGGTTTTAACATTATTTGGCACATCTGACAACTATTTGCCACTTATGTTTTAAAGGAGCTTAAGGGTGCTGTAATAAGGATTTCTATTTAAAAAAATACTTTAAAAAAGGAGACCATGACAAGTCATTTCTTTCCAAGCCAAAGCTAGCATGTTCACTTTCCCAAACCTTCACGAGAGAAGAAAATAACAATCTATAAACTTTTCTTGTAGAGAGGATATAGAGCTCTCCATGTCTATCTTTCACTAGCAAGAAAATAAAGGAATTCATTAAATATGCATTTCCCAAGCACTGTTTTTAGTCATCCAACTCCAATGAACTTGGAACTTCCCGCCAAAGGTTTCAAAACGGTAGCACAGTTCTTCGCAGAACTTTTGTTTGGTCAGCTTTCTTAACTGAGGCAAATGCCTTGTTTAGCATGTTAAGATCACATCATCATTTCTCAATGTGCTATATATTATCCCTCGAAGTTTGGACAGTGGATATTCAGACACTCAGTATAACAAATTCCTTTGTCTAGATCTCTTCTCCTCTCTCTAAAGCTTCAGGCTATTAAYGTAATCAGCACAGAACCAGATAAATGCTCAGCTTTTTGCTGTTGTCCTGTCAGTCTTGCTGCTAATAAGAAAATTCACTGTAGAAAGCCTATTTTTATTTCTTTATTCTTCCTTTTGTCATACAGAGCAAAGTGTTGCTATTTGTTGTACTTTCCCCATGTCAATTAAGAGCTGCTTGATACGTCGCTTAAGCTGAGGCAATCTTGCAAGCGGATCTGGTGGCTCCAGTTCTCCAGTGAAATCAAGCCAGCTTTCTAGAACTAGGGAGAAGAAAAAATTAGTTAGAATATGCCTGGGAGCAACATAATTTTCACAACAACTTATTTCTTTAATATGCTGCTTTTATTAAGAAGGGGAAATACACTGAGGGTGTGGATCTTAATCTAACAGAAAGAAAGCATTTATTAGGGAAATGTCAACTAATTTAGTGTTTCATTTGCACAATTGAGGTATCCTGCCTAATTGGGCTGATAATATAAAAAGATACTTAGGAGTAAATTATAGTCTTGCCTGACAAATCACTAAATACACACAAAAAAGAATCCTTCGGTCAAAGTATATGATGGTTGTGCAACAGAAAAAGCAACTTTTAAAAGCCAGGGTCAGTCAATACCCAAGTCTCACTTCTGCCACTTTAACAGGTCCAAGTACAGCTGTAAGAACCAGACTACTGAAAAGTTTTAAAATCTTGAAGGTTTGTTTTTCCTTTTTTTTTTTTTTTTTTTGTTTAAATGAATGCTTGTTTGTTTTTAATGAATGTTTGTAAAGACAGTAAAAAGCCCAACTCTTATTCTTGATATACTGCCCAGTGCAAGTATGAATATTGAAGGTAAAATTCTAACTAGGAATAAGATGATTTTGTCAAAATATAATCAATGCCTACACTAGCCCCAAGCTTTTCTAAGAAATTTTTAACAAATGGTGAGCGAATAAATACATTTCCTGCAATATTTACAGTTGCAGTAGAATCTCACATAAATTTTCTCACTTCACCTTCATCAGAAGTCCCATCTTTGCTCTTGAAACCTTTTTTTTTTTTAAACCCAATACCTAGCAAACTAAAGATGAAAGCAGAATGAGCATATAATATATTTCCCCGTAAATATTCTCAAATTCTAAATACATCACACTAGAAAATCCTCCCTGGAAGAGCTGCAGAAAAATCTGATAACTTTATGGTCCATACCTGAAGGCTGGTAAGTTACCTACGCTTTCTGAAGTGTCTCTTCTTGAACGATTCAGGTTAACTCTTCAAGGGGCCTGAGCACTTACCTACTTTGCTATGCATTCCACGCTTCTGGAAAGCATGTATGCATGCATCTGTATGGCCAGGGCAGAAGTGATGGTGGTACAAGCTCTGATTATAATTTCAGGTAAGTAAATTTGAATATAATTTTTGAATATCCATCCTTAGTGTATTACGGAATCACAGAATGTTCAAGGTTGGAAGGGGTCTCTAGAGATCATCTAGTCCAACCCTCCTGCTCCAGCAGGGACACCCAGAGCACATGGCACAGGGTCATATCCAGGTGGGTTTGGAGACCTCCAGAGAAGGAGACTCCACAACCTCCCTGGGCAGCCTGTTCCAGGGCTCTGTCATCCCCACATTCAAGAAGTTCCTCCTCACATGCAGATGGAACTTCCTATGTTGCAGCTTGCACCCATTACCCCTTGTCCTGTCACTGGCCACCACCAACAAGACCTTAATCCCTTTCTCCCTGCATTCTCCCCTCAGGAGATCCCCTCAGATCCCCTCTCAACCTTCTCTTCTCCAAGCTAAATAGGCTCAGCTGGCTTAGTCTTTCCTCATTCAATAGGTGCTCCAGTCTTCACCATCAACCCAGCGCCTATGTAAGATGCTATGTAAGGTGTGTTAACATTAAGAGGTAAAAGAATTATGTAGTATCCGGCAATGCAGTTACCATCAACTTCCTTTTCAATCAGATCCATTCTGCTGGTGACTTCATTCTGTACATTCTCTATGTGGGTGAGGAGATTTAGCTGCCATTGAAGATGTGTGTCCACTTCTTCTTCTGAGCCCTTCTTTTCATTACAAACAAACACAGTGTTCCCTTCAGCAGAATTCTTCTTCATAGGTGCAACAGAAAAAAAAAAGTTGCCATTTAAGACTGCTTATTTTTGCATTTCTGCTGTTGATTTCAATACTTGATTCGCATGATAAACGATGCCACTTCAAAACTGACCTTCTGAATACTTCTCAAGAGGCATACTCAAGAGTGAGGCACCATGACACATCACTAGACTAGCAAATTCCAAACACACAAGCACTGGGGACATGCAGTAGGACTGGGGGGAGGTCAAGCTTACCAGCTCAATAATGCAGGAGGACAGATTACATTTCTGTGCCGTTTATACCAATTGTAAAGCAAATCATGGAGTGCTGAATTGCATCAGTAAACCACCATGAAAAAAGGCACAAATCCCTACACTTCCTGCAATTTTAGTGAGGAAGTGAAGGAAAATTGCCTAAAACACAGTAATACYGAAGATGTGAAATATCTGCTACTTATTTTGTGCAAATCAGCTGCCAACTCATATGCTGATTTCTTCCTTCTGCAGCAATGATCCCATGCAAACTCCAGCCACAAGGCTAGGCCAGTTAAGTGTGTTTAGAGATTGTTATAYGGCTAATAATGTACAAAATGATGCACACATGAAGTAAACATAGCATGCAAGACAAAGACTGCTTTATTTGATGTAATTATTATCTCCATATTACCTTCATCTTGACGTATTTTACATATTTAGGTCATAAGTGAATCTTAATCAGTCAAAATGTTCAGCATCTACATTAACTAGCAGAACTGGCAGTTTCCATTCTGTAGCCCTCCAACTTCACATTCAGCGAAGCTCTTTCACTACTGATTACTCTATTTTAGGAACTAGCTTCACAGAAAATGCTGCCGTGCTTGTGCTTACATTGTATCAGCTTGTAGCAGATGCCAGAGCAAGGCATGCGTTGTACCACCAYATCAATGCATCATTCTCAAAATGTGCTCCACTTCATCTTTTTCCACATCACATTAAATCAAACTTAGCACTCTCTAAAATAAGTTCTTCCCCACTTTTTTTATGGATGGAGGTGGTGGTAATAAGTGATTAAAAATCTTCCAAAGATCTTGGATGGTCTCACAGGCAGTCGCACAAGCGAGTCCTGGAGCATGTGAATTGTTAATACAATATTCACTAAAGAACTGCCATATATGCCTTGCTTACTGAAGTCAAGTATTAAAAGCCACAAAAGCCTCTAAACTCTTAAAGGCTACAACTAAGGCCTTTTATCTCTCATGAAACCAAGTTTGTCTCTTCAGTGCTTTTCACTACTCAAACTATTTCACTATTTCACTGATATTTAAATCGGGTGTTTCCAAAGTAAACATAAGAATTGCCTTATTTCTTACAATTTTGGGGATCACACATACACATAACAGAATGCCACTTTCTCCTGCTGTACAWGGACTCAAAAGTACAATCATAAAAACAAAAGCATCTATTATATGAGCCTTTCAGATGCACATCACAATAACTGAGACAAATCTGCCATGACCTATTCATGTCTTTCAGTCCTTCACAGTCAGAGCTGAGATTATTATATATTATATATATATTATATATTTTATACATATAATTATATATTATATATATATTATTATATTATGTAATATTCTGCTTTAACTGGCAGACTTTCTAAAAACTCTTTTTTTCCTTTCATGACCTCTGTATTTGCTTATCCAAATGGTTAGTCCACATTCCTTGAAAAACAAGTAACTTGAAATTAGTGAATCTGAACACTCTTTAAAAGACATAAGGAGATCACAGCAGAACTATAGATGAGGAAAAGGCAAACCAATACGKAAAGCAGAATATTCAAGGTGTTGCAGCAATCTACAAGTGAGACTGCAATGCCCAGGTTAGAGTTTGGGAAGGAGAGCTGAAGAATYTTCATAAAAAAGCCAATTCATGTTACAAAGGGCAATACAATGTGGAATCCAGAATGATTTTAAGGTAGGTACAGACTAGTTCAAGGATCACTTTTCAATACTTAGTAAGTCAAGGGGGAAGATTATTCAGGCATTAGGCTGATGAGTGACAACTGAATGAGCTGGGGTCCCAAAGGAAAATAYACTTCAATACTGTCCCAACTGTCTCTCTCTAGTTTTATGGTTTAGGTTCTCAGGGAAATATTTAATTCTGTTTCCCTGTCCTTATTTTTAATTCTAAATACACATAATTTACATTGGCAACTTATGCTATTACTGAAAAGAAAATGTATTTCACACTGCTGCATGTGTCCTTACTATAAAGTCTAAGTATACACATGAGGTTTGGCATACAAGCCACCATCTCTAAGCAGAAGATGACAAAATTTTCCATTTGGGCTACACAGTTTACATGCCACATTTAAAACCAGATTTAAAAATAAACCCAAACCTCCCAAACCTGTATCTTACTAATTTCTTCCACACCAGAAACCATACCTCAAAGGGGGATGAGTTAAGTATTTTCACACAGTTGATATTGCAAAAATCAGAAAGGCTTTACTTTGCCTTTTGTTTAAAAAGAACTCATGACTAAGACCAGATTAAAAAGTTTGAGCCCACTGCCACAAGCTAATGAATTCAAACAATTAATAAAAAAATCCCAACTAAAGATCTGTGAAATATATTTGACAGAAATAATGCAATATAAAGGACTTAAAGTTCCACGTGATTGAAATCATCTTAGCTGACAAGTCATTATAAAAAAAAAAAAAAATCCTCAATCCAAAGAATAACCTACCCAAACTTGTTCCTATTTTCTCCCTTCCAAAAAAATACTTAAGTATTTTTTCAAGAGCCCTCCCTTTAAGCCTAGGGTTTTGCTCTTTTTTTTTTCCCAAAAAACACATTGGAAATGAAAAAGCATAAACAGTCTCCACACAAGCAAAACTTTAACCATAATTTTCAATTCATTCACCAGCTCAAATWTGAAACCATTTCACGGTGAAGCAAGTTCGTTCCTAATTATACTTACCAATATATTTAATGGTAAATGCCAAGTTTTAACAATGAACATATCCAAGTATTTTTGTGCATTTGGGTTTATCATAGTGAATGCATTTTTTAATTAAGATACTGCACAGATGAAAAATAATACTTACCTGATCATTCATCCCATCATCTTTAAAAGAATATGGTAAACAATTTTTATTCTCTGAATGAAATTCCTGATCTTCATCAAGACTACTTGTATCTTCATCATCTGAGCTCATAGGGTCACTGACTGCTTTGCAGTCTTGACCAAAACTCTGTGGTTTTTGGTAACTGTGTTCACTTGTGATATATGTTTCTTCCATCTTTAGGGGTAAGCTGGGTGTCTGTCTATGATTTTGACTGTGACACGTCCTTTCAAGTGGATTAACAGGGTTTGGCAAAGTCACTGTTTTTTTCTCTACCCCAAGAGTTATTTGTTCTTGTTCTTTTCGCATCCCTGAATAAGCCCACAGATGAAGGTCTGGGTGATGCTTATTTCTGGAAAAAAAAAACAAAAACAGGGAGGGGTAAGCAAGTTTAGAGAAATACTACTTAGAGCACTGAACCACTAAGCATCTACTTCTGTAACTGATGAGCACCATTATCACGAGTATGGGTGAGCTTTCGTAAGCCACTTTTCAATTTAGTATATATCCAGAATTATCTTTTAATACAAGGGTCTTCATAAAACAAAAATCACCAATAAGCTAAAAACACCAGATCTACTTAGGTGCTGAGCTGAAACTACTTCACTTTCACTCTGAAAGTGTTTAGAACATCACACAAGCAAGAATGTTTAAATAGGTGAATAATCCAAATGAGAGTATTAAGTCTCCACTACCTAAATACATACATTTACAGTTGGAGAGCTAATACGTACTTTAATATCCCAATCTTCAACTGCAGTCCATGCAATATTTCAGTTACACCATATACATCCGCCAGTAGATGATGTGTTGACACAATCTTTTTGGCATTGAGATGAGAGTAGTTTTCTTTCAAAAACGATAATCCACACATGTGTCCATTATTTAGCCAGTCTTTATCATAAAGATATTTGGCACTCCATCTCTGACCTGAGGGTAAGCAATAAACAGACTGAGGGTCATCTAAAACCACAGTGCATTTTTATTTAAAACTAGCATGCTAGAATTATATGCTGTATTCTCCTAAAAGTCTCATAACATCCATGCGAGGAGGATTCAAGATTCTGCTGCTGCATTAATACATGAACATTTAAGTCTCACGGATTTAAAAGAAACTTATTGCTTATTATGAAAATAAAAGTAAACCTCAAATCTCATGACCCTTGTTAATGGTTTTTGAAATGAACAATCTAATCAACTCTGTAAAGCGTCAGTTATGAGAAAGCCTGATAGTGCGGATGTAACTGCCAAAGTAAATTTAGACTGGCATTTTTTCTTTAATTGTTGCAGCTTACTTAAGAAATAACTAAGCACAAGTTAGAGACTGTTAGAGGCTGAATTTTATAAGGATAGATCAAAAACATCTAGTTTCTTCTGGCTTTAATTTTGCTTTAATTCTGAAGTCAGTATCTATCTAGAAGGTCTCCATGAAGGGCAAACACCTCAAAATCATCCTTCAGAAGAGTTCTTACACTCTCCTTTGAGGTATCTGGTACGAGACATAATGACATTTAAATAAATAGGTCTTAGGTCTCCATTGCTATGGCAATGTCTACATTCTTATCCAACAAGTAGGAATGATATCAGCTAATATGTCTACAGTAATTTAACCATTATGGGAAAAAAATAGAAAAAAAAAAGAAAACCAACAACTTATAAATCTGATTATGCTAATACTATTGTATACAATGAGGAACCCAGACAAACCGACCGCCTAAGACTGCTCAATTTTATATCAGACTATCATCATATAGAGAACAAAGAACGGGTTGATGGAAGCCCTTCATACCTTTCAGGAGAATACCCTATCTCCTTTCTGCCCATTATCCCAATACACTTTAAAATACTGACATTGTGAATGACCTTTTTCTCCTGACACAGAAAGAAAAGAAGGAATGGTTAGGAAGGGAGAGAAGATAAAAATTAGGGACACAGTTTCTGAATAGCAGGGGATAATGAGGTGCCTAGTACAGTGCAGGAAAAGAACACAAACCAAAATAGTTGTTCTTAAGAAAAAGTTTGACTGCTCAAGGAATATAGTGCATGTATCAAACAAGACTTTATACCATAAATCAAGCCAGATATGGGACAAGTGAAAAAGTTCTATCTGTATAGCTCTTTCCTAAATCTTCCTCTCTCTCTCTTAATGAAAAAAAAGATATATATATATATATATATATATAAACCATTGCTATTCTATAATTCTGCAAACCGGCTTCAGATATGTTTTCTTAAATTCTGAATAAAATTAAATTTCCATGTGTAGTTTCACTATCCTCTTAAAAAGTCAGATTGTTAGAATGGCAAAATCACCAAAAGACAAAACATGTGCATTTGTATCACTTGCTAGAGAAAATGAAAAACTTTCTTCAAAATCATATGGTTTGCCTCCAAATAATTGTTAAGAAAAATGGTTTCATGGACAGATTTTTTGTTGTAATTTTTAATCAATAATATATTAAATGTATTCAGTTTATAACTAAACAGACTCTTCCTAACTCTTGCTATTTCTAACTTGTTCTGGCAATCTTAAGTTCAGGATGTGCTGCTTGTGTAATACTGTTATAGCAAATTACTACTATAGGGAGTTACTACAACAAATTACTACTATAGCAAGTGCTGTTGCATATGTTTTCCCATATGCAATTATGGATTTATTATACAATTGTAAAAAAAMCTAAAAATTACTAAAATCAAATTATTATGAACTGAGATCCACAGCATTAAGTGTACTATACTAACGCATTAAAAAAAACTTTAAATAGATGCAACTGCAAGTACATACAGATCAGAGAATTTATTTTGTATAGAGTTACTTCTCAGAGTACAATGGCATTAAAAAGTCCTATGGGTTTAGGAGAATTAGGTTTGAACATGTAAAACCAAGGTAATTAACATTCTGGAGAACAATTTAGAACATTTGAACAACATGTTACCAACAGGAAAAGGAAGTTCGGCTTAGCCTCCAACTCAGAAATATTTGCCTTACCCAAGTATAACATATAACACAAAGCAGACAAAGTTGTAACAAGTAAAAGCAAGTATCTCTGCTTATAAAAAATACATAAACAGCAGCAGATAAAGGTGATTTACTCATACCTGGTGGATCTCTGCAGATATAACAGATGTACTGCTCTGGAATGCTGTCCTCTAACAACCCCATGCATACACTGTGTTGCCAACACAAGCACTCTTCACACTGACACCAAAAAAATAAAAATAAAAACAAAAAAAGCAAAAACTAAAACTAAGATAAGTGGATATACAAATAAGAAGCTTTTCCTGTATCATCAAAATGCAAGGAAAAACAGTTTTACTTAAATAGTTGTTAGATTAATATTATCTTAGAGGTCAATTTGTGCTTGGCTAGCCAAAAACATAAAGCTAAAACGTAGCTTAACTCTAGTTCTGAAAGTCACCTCAAACACAATTCCAGACTGGGACACAAAAAATTGAAGATGAAGGTTGAGAATATTTAACAATATTTTATTATAACATTCAATATTTTAGSACCTAAATATTTAAAGTGAAACAAAAGACAGGAGAATATTACAGTAAAGTAGAAAGATAATGTAATACATTACAGTATAACAGTGAAAAGTAGAAAACTCTTCAGTTTAATTATTTATATCTATAAAGCATCTCTCCAGTGCGCTAGAAAGATGTGTTTTTAATATCGCACCAATGGAAAATCTAAAAGGAAAAAGAAAATGAAGAGAAAATGAAAGAGTAGAACTAAGAAAATAAGAGAGCAAAATAGAAGTGGTAAGATACGAGGGCCTCGAAATAGCAATTGGTTGCTCTTGATGAGACGAGGAAGGAAGAAGTAAATGATCAATATTAGGCTGGCACTGGGCTTCAGAAATGGGCAGGAAACCACCACCAAGTTTGCTTTTCCTTTCCATTTTCATCTCAGTGCTTACCTCCATTTCAAATATCTGTTGTTTTATTACTGAAAGCTTCTCCTCTGCTGTGCATTTTGAGCACCAACCTACCCAAACCACAGAAGCAACCTTTCCTCGTGACATGCCACCATAGTTTCCATTTTCTCTCAACAAAGATTTTAAAATGGGGGGACCTGATCAGTGTGTATAAATACCTCATGGGAGGGCAGTGAGGAGGAGGGGGCCGGCCTCTTTTCAGTTGTGGACAGTGACAGGACTAGAGGAAACGGCCGCAAGCTGAGGCACCAAAAGTTCCACAGGAACTTGAGAAAACACTTTTTGACAGTGAGGGTGACAGAGCCCTGAACAGGCTGCCCAGAGAGGTTGTGGAGTCTCCTTCTTTGGAGATCTTTAAAACCCGCTTGGATGCAGCCCTGTGCCACGTGCTCTAGCTGACCCTGCGTGAGCAGGGGGGTTGGACTAGATGACCTCTGAGGTCCCTTAAGGTCCCAACCTTAAGCATTCTATGATTCTAAATCAGTCCATTTCTCCATGTTATCATTGCTGACACTGCTGCTTAATTCTCCTAATGTACCACTGCATTCCAATAATGCTTTCCCAGAGACGTTTTATCTTCCTTTTCCAGATCTTTAAGTCATTTCCAGGCTATTAACTCATGACAGCCATTTTTGCCTCATTCAGTTCTCAGCTAAAAAGACTTCATATTTTCAACAGTTGTACTACATTAACAGCTATACATATACAAATCTGTTGAGTACAGAAGAACACATGAATACCTGATCCTTTTCATGTTACTGACAACTCAGTTCTTCCTCACTGTAGACAGCAACCAATTTAAGCGATATATTACAAATTCCCTGAGATAAGGAATCTGTATTCCACCCCTTATTGTAGTAGGAGCAGCAGTAGCTGCAGTCTATCAAGAGATGAAAATGCTGTGCAGACAGTGTATAATCTTTGAGTGATCTCTTTTTTTCTGTATCAAATTAAGATTCAAATTCTTGGCAGTTTCTCAAATGAGTCAGTAGCTTCCAGTTTGAGAACTGTTACTGTAGAGACACACATCAGATACTGGCAAGATTATTGTCAGTATGGCAGGCCACTACATCAAGCTTCATTAAGCTACAGTTCATTATTGTGGATACAGCTGAGGCAAATTTACAGCGAGCAGAATGGTCTCTACAACTGCAAGTGCAAAACACAAGGACCAAATCTATTGCAGCAGAAGTGTTGGCATGTTCAGGATCATCTGTGGATATAAATGATCATTTGTGCATAGAAAAGCAGTTATCTTCTCAACTTTGTCAACTAGCTACATGGAAAAAAACAGTTACCTTTCCATATAAACCCGTTCCATGTAACGAATTGTTAGAAGAAATGTATTAATTCCATTCTAGAGAAAGATTTTTGTATATACAGGATGGATTCACACACCAACTGCAGAACACAGGAGTATTCTATTATTAATGTTCATCTTGTATTTAAAGTTATCTACGTAACTTCAGTTTCCAAAATTAACGGAAGGGCACACTTGATCACAAAACACACACTGAAAATACAAAGGAAAAAACACCTTTACCTGGATCATAAAGCCATTTTCTTCATCCAGTTCACAGATGCATCTTACAATTTCATTGAGAGCATCATCTTCATCTTGAGACTCTTCAAAATTAGTTGAATCGAAATCCTGATTGTATTCATCACCACTAAGTAATAAACTCTCCGTGGAAGAATCATCCAAGAACTCCATATCTGAAAGGTCTAGTAAAAACAAATCCATGTGAAATTGTGTGTGCAAAAAGATGCAACACTTTACATAAAAAAGAACTTTTGAAAAATTTTAACCTGCACATAACCGGATTACCCACAAATGCACTGATACTAGTTTAGGTTTCTTGATGAACTCTGCTAAAAGGCCTTTAATGAAATGTGACCACCTCAAAAGTAGAAATAACAATTAACCAAGCAAATACAGTACAGTACAGCTTGAAAATTGTAAGTATTTTATTTAAATCAAATATAACTAATCCTCCATTWTTACAGATACAATCCCAAACACAAAACTTTTTTTTTTTCAGATTGCCCTTTTTAAGGAATTAAACCTTCAAACTGAAAGCTGCAGCTCAGGCAACCTACTTTCTCCACTAAGGTCAACAGACAAGATGGCTCTGGGATACTGGTATGACGTGTTCTTGTCCGAGAACATGCTGCGCAATGTCAGGGAGCTCCCCGAGGACCGTGTTAAGGGAGAGGAGCATCTATCCGTGAATTCAACAGAACTGTCCTCGTAATCCGAATAATCTGAAAAGTTAACATCTAAAGGTTAACCACTGTTACAGGAGTAAAGAAAAGACATTTATGTCTACAAAAAAAGAACAAAACAACTACAACATCAGGCTCAAAAGCTGGGAATATCAACATTTAGATATTAAGATGATGAAAATGCACATATGAACTGGTAAAAGTATTTCAGAACCTATTTTATCCAGATCTTTTCAGTAAGACACATTCCAAGACTAGTATTAAATTTGTCCTTTTTACTTCCTCCCTATCTCTGTATGTATATAGGAATAATTCTTTTTACATTATCACTATATAAGTAAAAGAGACTTTTTTCTTATTGTTGCAATTCTTCCTCTCTCATTTATCATCCTTAGATAAACTCTTTTCCTTAGGTCTTGTAGCAAAATGCTACTTACCTATACACGATACCAGCTGAAAAAATGCCAAGAAAGAGAACTGCGAGTCTGTCCTTATCATGGTGGTTGGAGAGTGTCCCAGAAAAGCCCAGAGGTGATTAGAGTCACTCCTCTTACACATTATTACTTGGGAAATGAGTCGTCAAGTTTGCAATTTTCATTCTGGGGAAGTATTCATTCCTGCTATCACATGCCTCTACACTTGCAATGGGCTCCACAATACACTTGTCTGCTAAACATTTTCCATGAAGCCACTGCCAATGTTTGTTCTTCTGTCAAGAACAGAATTGTTCTACTATGCGATTCCTTGTGAATTTGCTGGAAGTCAGGAACAGAGGTGATAACCTGAAATATTCTAGAAAACTCTTTGGGTTGTATAGCAATACAACCTCAATCAAATATAATGTTTATTAATAACAGAAGCTACCTATCTTTACTGTATATGTATTTGATATGAACAATCAATCATGCACATATACAATATAAATTAAGAGATTAATTTGGGTAGAAGAGGAATGCTCACATTTTTTCCTTAAATACAGACGCAGAAGTGCATATAAGATCTCTATTTATTGGGAAATTATGAGGTATATGATTCTCCCCTAATTAATTACAAGCACTAACTTCTCTCCAGTATTTTAAATTGTATGCCAAGTCCGTCTCTCCTGTTGATTCTGCTAAATTTCAATATACTACAAACACTGAATATTTTGCATCCTCAAAATTGCAAAATAACTTCTCAATTTACCTCTTTCTTAGAAAATATTTGAAACAGAAGGCTCACAAGAATACTGCGCAGTAGTTATTCCAGATAATCTATTCATACATTTACACATATTTCAAAAATGTACCTTAAGTTGCAGCCTATTAAAACAGTTTCATTGCAAAGTTCTGCTGGAAATTGTTTCAATTATTATTTTGCTTATTTCTGTGCAAGTAGTCTGCACAGAGTGACTACGAATAGTCAGCTTGTCATTATAGTCAGAGTGTGCAGGAATGCTGTATGATTACACTTCTTTTTATCTTACACTTATGAAACTGTACTGACAGTGCTGCATCTGATGATACTGCTGTACACCTAGTGATGACACATTGCTTTTGAGTAGCTTTCTAAAATGGCAAGGAAGTACCATTACTTCTCTGGAGAAAGTAATAACTGTGATGTTTTAATACTCACAGATGAAACAGTCAGAACTACTTAGATTTTGTGGCTGTGATTTTGTGTGATGTCTTATTTTCTCATTCGCTTGTTAAAAACCAGTAAAATAGCTTTTGGATCCTTTAATAGCATTTTTTGCACATATCTTCCCAAAATAAGCAAAAAGAACTGTCAGTAATTTCTAGGCAATAGCCTCCACTAAAGTTTACAGTTTAAATTTTAATACTCCAATACACAGGCAGTGAAATATGTGAAATTAACTTACTGTGGTTCACATTCAAGTACATTATTTACACTTATTATTTACAGTACAAGCTTTAGGACAAATGCTTATCACTCTGGAGATCTATGAGGCATCTTTAAAAGCTGCTTGTGAAAAGCTCCATATATGTGGAGGATTGTTCCACATGCTTATGAGGAAATTTTTGTAGGAAAAAAAGAAGCCTAGTTTGATACCATTTTAATATCCACATTTTCAGAAATTTCAGTCAGTTGTACTATGACTGGTAGCTAGTAAAGCACACTCTCAAGGTATGCAAAAGCAAAAAGTATGTGTATCTGACAGGTATATGAAAGATAGACCTTGTTTTTGAATATTTAAATACAATCGCCAAAAACAAGAGCAGTAAGATAAAAAGTATTGTTTCAAATCCTGAAACACTTCTTTGGGTAAGCAGGTATTATACTCAAATGTTTAGTCTTCAGCAATCTATCACTTAGAGATAGGCTATAAATGCAGAAATGGCAACAGAGTATCCTTTCACCAACAGGACCAAAAACTCATTATTTGCCATTCCTAAAATTCTAGGTTCATACTGTTAGTACTATCTTAAATATTTATGTGTGAATGCCAAAAACAAGATCCACTAGTTTTGCTCATTTTCAAAAAACAAAAAAAATCCTCACATATATTAAACTTACCATGCTGTTTAGATTTCTTCTTTTTTTTCTTCTTCTTTTTCTGTTTTGATTTATGATCTTTCTCCTTTTTCTCTTTTTTCTCTTTTTCTTTCTTTTTACCTGAAATAACAAAACAAATATTTTTAGACATCAGAGATATTAAATTCAAACTATTTTGGTGATCTACTCAGATCAACACGATTCCATTTGCTTGTTATCTTTGATATTAGTCTCTTGTTAATTGATGGTAAAATAGTATATTTTACAATTTTAAGTATTGCCAAATGAGATATCATAGGATAAAAAAAAATAAAACAGCATATGGAGTGGCATATTTAAATAGCTTATAAGAACATATAACAAAAGTGTTTGGGTAGGAGAAAAAAGGCTTAATTCCATACAAGAAAAGAACAGTCTCCTTCTTTGGAGATCTTTAAAACCCGCTTGGACGCAGCCCTGTGCCACGCGCTCTAGGTGATCCTGCGTGAGCAGGGGGGTTGGACTCGATGACCTCTGAAGTCCCTTCCAACCTTCGGCATTCTATGATTCTGTGATAATGTAGACTTAAGAAATATACACTACACCTACAAAAAATAGGTGAAACACACTCACAAAACTGCTGATATTGTCAGCAGTTCTTACTGAACAACAACACTGTCGTGTAAAACTAATTTTGAATAAAATTTAATGTTTCATTTCTTGCATTGGTGTTCCTTGTAAGCCATGTTGACAATCTCATGATTATAGCTACTTCATCTTGGAAGAACTCTGTTTACTCATTCTCTCCGGATTAAATGCATCCCACAACACGTCACTGCATAACCATTTCTATGCAACTAGTTGTGAGATAAAAAAATATAAAATGTATTTGTTATTGAAAATAATCCTTAAATACGGACTTTGAGGAAATATTTCCTGTACAAAAATAGCACCTTATTATTTGCAGGGCAAGTACAAAAACAATATTTACCCTTAATTCTAAAAATTCTAAATTGAAAATTCTAATTTACATACAAATTCTTGGTTACCTATAACCATAATTTTTACGCATTGAAAAGCAAGCCCCTCTTAATTTAGAATTTTGTTCAAGAATTGCCAAATATTTTATCAGTCACATTTGGCTATTTTATTTTACCTGTCAGTAAACAGAAATAACAGTGCAGTGATACTAATTCAAATAAAATCAGCTTTGGCTTGGGACAGGCTACTGCAGTCCTGTCACAGACACTATTTGTATATTTCCAAACCCTTGTTATTTTGCTTATAAAAATATTTATTCCTCCACTACAAGCTTTCTGTATATAGAAACTGTAAGAGCTAAAAGAACTCCACCTAGGCCCTGGAAATATCTGTATACTTCTACATCAACAGTTCAGAGACATAAAGTAAAGTTATAGCTGTCTACAGTACTACTCTTCCAAACCTCTGCCTTCTTCCTCAAAATCTTCTCGTCTGTACATACCATATGTTGAGGAGCTTTTCTCTTCCAGTTTTCCTTTCCTCTCCATTCTAACTGCACCTACAAACGGAAGAAGAACATATGACATCAGCACAAGGTCTGGCTGATGACTCGCTTTCTTTTAAATGTCATTAGACAAAATGCCCTATCGCTATATATATATATTAACAAACATACAAGTAACACATTGATTTTTAATGTCTCTTTACAGTTATCTTTATTGTCTAAAGCACTGGAAACAAAAAGCATTGTAGTTTACCAACTTCTGAATGCTTGTCCTTCTCAATCACGTTCTTTAATATTTTCTCCTTCAGACTCTCAAAACATTTCTCCTTTATGGGCACAGAGTACTGTATCTCTGTCCCTTCAGAGCTCACTGATGTGGAGGACCGCTTTTTTTTACTATTCCCTTTGGGTAACTTTAGACTATTGGTTAAAGGCATTTCCAGATGTAAGGCATGTACATGGGACGAGGGTGCTGAAAACAAGAAGACAAATTTACTAGGCATTCAGTAAAAACTGCAGCCAGYTCCCTGGCTGGGTCACACCACTAAAACGTCAAATACTACTATTATTATCATCACAGTTAACGTAAGATTATTGAAAATGAATGCCTAGATCTCAGTCTTACATACAAGATATTACATGCCAAACAAACTTTATCTATTTGGAAATTTACATTCATTTTCTAAACAGTAATATTAGTCTATAAACACACTTTGCTCTACTTTTAAGTCTTTTTGTTTCCTTTTCATTTTCATGTAGCAGAAGTCCACGTCAACAAAAAGCATAAAACAGTTGATACTGTCAAAATTATTTTAATTTTTGTACTATTATGTGAACAGAAACTCTAAGCTTTTCTACAAAATTTTTGGTATTTGGTACGAAACTTGTATCTCTTTCATGTGTTTAATATTTAATATACATTTAATTTTCATATTTAATTTTCATATTTAATATACATTTGAATTATATGCAAAATAGTATGCTGTTAGAATTCAGTATCATACTGACAATTCTCATTACTCAGTAATTCTTGGATTATTTAAGGAAGGCTTTTAACTTGATGCATATTACCAAATAACACAGCTGAACAAATGTTTACATTAGAGTCTTTCATTAGTCATATTTATAAGGATATAAGGACTGTGGAATTTTCAAATATTCAAACTAAAACAAAAGCTATTTGTAAAAAAGACTAACAATATTGCTCAATACAGTAACTGTATTAGTCCACACAGTGAGAGCTCTAAGTCTCATCTAACTGTAACCAGGTAAGTCACCCTTAGGGCCTCTTGACATAAAAACCCAACCAAAAAAATCAGCATCCAAAAAATCATTTGCTAGCGTAACTGCTGAACCAAAGAAAATAATCCTGAAGGAAACCTGCTCCTTATCAAGACATTCAATAAAACAAAATACCAAGTTGATGTGGAATAGCTTTGAGCTCCTTCTTTTACCATTTGAGTATTATGAAAACAAAAAGCATTTAAAAACACAGTATTAAGATAATAATGGTAAGTTTGAGAGTCTTAAAAAGATTCTGGAGGAAGCAACAAGGTCCTGGGGATGGCTCTGTAGAAAGGCTTCCCAGCTCTGCCACGACACAAAGCAGCACCCACGTTAATCCTCTGGTTTGCTAATTCATGGCTCTCCGCTGCAGGATAGAGGCTGTTCTGCAGTTTTCAGAGCAAGGACCATGTTTTTAACACACCAGAAAGTGACGTTTCTCCACGTGACCATGTTATCAGGGTCTCCTTCTGCAGGGCCACTTCTGAAGACAGAGTAATAGGAACTTTTAAATGCATGAGAGAGAATCTGGTTGGGTCACTGCTATGTTCATGAAAAGCTCCAGAAAGGCCTTTTCCGAACGATCTCTGGGAAACCGCAGTCCCAAACAGTCTATTTCCATGAGTGAGCATTTAAACTTCATTATACAAAATAAATCCTGATCTCACACATTCCTATGTGCTCTGCTATCACTGATGGCAATGCAAACTTCACTATCTCAGTTTCTAACACCAACACAGGTGACCTGGGAGGAGTCCGTGACAAAATAACTGAGAAAGGTTTGGGGAAATATCCATCATAATAAATATCTGCTAGTTACACACACACACACACAATATATCTGAATGGCACCACTATCTAAGCTCCATCTCTATAGTAACCAGGAAAAAGAAATTATTTTTATGCCTGCATAGTCTGTTCTGTTATTCCTGGCATTTACTTTTACTAACTAAATATTACTTAATATTAGCAATATAAAGCATAAAAAGTTATATATTATAAAGTTACTAGATATATTATAAGATATAAGATACTGGAAATCATTATAGATTGCGAATCACAATCTCACTTTTATCTAAACAAAGTATTAAGGCAGGCAAACATCTCAATTGTGAGGTGTCTAGTTATTATGCCTTACAAATAGCTCCAAAATTAAGTGAAGAAGACAACTGGAGCCTAGTGACCAGGTGATCAATCTAGCAAAACACACACTCATTTATGAAAGTGCCTTTTATGCAGACATGATTATATCTCCTTTTTTTTTTAAACTGTTTTTAACTGCCATTTTATCCCTGCAAGGAGTCTGCTACCACCTCCACACAGTGAAAGGAGGCAGGTCTGCAACTAACCCCCAGCTGAAAGGAAGATGCTCACAAGACTAGACTAGATTTAGCTCACTCAAGCTTAACACATATAGCAATAAATTATCCCAATGCAAAATAACTTATTTCATTACACTGTATCAGGAAAATTAAGTAGCATCATTTTTTTCAATCTTTAGAATTTTCAGTGCTTAAGACATTGATATCAAAATATCCTTTAAATGTACACTATGCATAATAAAAAACCCTGTGCAGAAGAAGGCCTCTGGAAAGTATGAGGACATGAAAGGTTTTTGTTGGCTTTCACCAGCTGCCCCACAGAAGCTGCTGGAAACCTCCGGGCAGCAGAATGGCAGAACCCTCTGAAAGCAGAGGCCAAACTAAGATGCAAAATCGACTGTCAACAGATGTTCGGAGCAGAAATAACACGTCTGTAAAGTAGTAAGAAGTTCAAGTAAGAAGTTCAATGTGTGATTTCCCCCCTGCCTCCCCTCCCCATTTAATCAACCATATGTCATCCTGGTGGCAAAATCAGTTATCCTGAGCTAGAACAGGGACTAGCAGTGAACACGTAACTATTTTCTCCTCCTGCTTCAAATTTAAAATTTAAATTGCTTGCTGAAATTGCACTTGCTAAGCATGTAACGGCCAAAAGAAAGGGCACAGAGCTATGAAAAAGAAAAATGATCATGAATTTAAGGAAAATTACAATTACTAAATGAACTAGTTTCATGAAGTTTGCAGCAAAAAAACTATAGTGGTTTGAAKGCATTCGGGCTGATTGTGAATTTGAAGTTTGCAGTAGGGTCAGTGATGAGAAGAGCAAATCACCTACACGTAAGCAGCTTGATAAATAAAGTGGGTCCATAAACCCGTTTAGCCTAAGCACTATTATCGGTTCCAAAATTAAATATGAGGGCACCGATACCACCAAAACAACAYGGTCGCTCCACGTAAGCTGCAGACTGATGGAATTGGTTACAATGCTCCTGTTATAAAACAACAAGTTGTTCATTTTGAACAGCAGTTTTGTGAAGGAAATTGTGTTAATATTATAAATTGCTATATACATGTCTGCACTGCAGTACAGGAAAGGATCTATTTTCTCATTCCTTTCTATTTTCTCATTCCTTTCCTTTAAAAGGCACTGAGCAAGTAGCTTTGGAATAGGAAGTCATCAAAATGCATCATTTTTGACAATGTAAAATTATTTTTCTGATTGGCTCACCATGTACCCTACTTCAGCAGTCTAAACTTTCACAGTCAGAAATCACATCCCTGGGTCTAAAATAGTGCCTAAATAGCAAGCCTCTAAATGGTATAAAYGGCAGCTACCTTCAGAATGGCCAATGATCACAATAAGCTACTTAATACTTCCCTTATTTTCATAATTTCTGAAACCATCTCTTTTTCTTTACTGATTTTTTTCCAGTATGAAGAACACAGCAAGTCTGACTYGAGCACACTTAGTAAGTTCCATGGTATTACCAAAATCTAGAAGATCAGATTTCTATACACAGGTTTGTCCAAGTTGCTCCAACAGAACCTAAAGAAATCTCAAATTTCCTAAGCTGAAAAGGATTTATAATAGTTCTTTCAGTTTAAAAAAAAAAAGAAAAAAAAAAAAAGGAGCTAACTGCAGACGGGTCTGTATCTTACACCAGAATTCTCAAATTGTGGCACAAAAAAAGGAGTACAATGTAAAGACTCAACACAGTACTTTAATTACACTTAGACGGCCAGATGTTCCTCCAAATGCAAAAAAAAAAAACGCCTATCACTATTCCTAGCACTTTCAAGCCTCATCAAGGTTGACAAGGCTTTGGGAACCCCTTCTTTATACATCAGTTTGCTTAAATGTTATGAATGTCACTGTTTTAACAGCTGCATTAGATAAAATAAATTATAAAAAGAAATGATTCTATTCATGCTATTCATATATGGAGGTATTCTGCATAACTGTGTGCGCTAAAGTACCTTTAATTAAGTATCCTCAAATAAGTGTTCCAAGCGTTTTCATTTTCTCATTCAAGAGCAACTAACTTTTTGATTTGTCAAATACTTTCAGTTATAAATAAAAGGAACTATAAATAAAGTAYATTATTTCTTGGTTAAACTCAGCTGTGGCCCAAGACCAAAACCAAGCTCAATCAGTAAGTTCATACAATGATATTCACTGTCACAGAAGAGAAGCAAGGCTCAGAACCAGACTATGTGAATCCAAAAGCAGACCCATAAGGGAWTGAGGCAGCAGAGGAAGCACCTATGCATTAGCTTATCCAAAAATACACTGAGAAAAGCCGGAGTCAGTGAAATTTGCAATARCTGAAATGAGTTCTAATTAAATAGCAAAAGATGGTAGTTATGTGTTTCTTTTATGGTCTTGTTCTTGAAGTGGACAAACACGAAGCCTCCAAAAGCACTTCTCTTAGTGGCAGAAGACATGAGATGAAAGGGCTTTTGCAGAAGAAATCTTTCTGGGAATCTGATTTGACTATTTGGCAGTACAGGAAAGGCAAGCAAAGATTATTTTGTTTCACTTGAAAAATTAAGTAAATTTTTAAAAGCTTAAACAGCTCATTAGAAACCTTTATCATCCTTAATTTCACAAATTAGCTGAAGAGATTAATAGTTTTTGTGCGTGTGTGTGTGAAAAAGGAAATTAACACTCATATAATTYGATCTGTGCAATATTGATCTAAAAGTCCTACCCAGCCATTAATGCACAAAGCTAAGCAACTATGCTGTGATTCTATAAACCAATCACGCATATGCAGACACCAGAGAAGAGGCCGTATATTTTAAAAAACAACATAAAACACATGACCTATTGAATACTGCAGCTATTTTTTTCCACACTTAATGTAAAGATGCTACTCAGTTTTCTCTTAAACAAGATGGAATTATCTTTTCAGGATGGCGTAAAGTTGCATGCTTTRTAGTTATGCTCTCCCAGTAATTTTTCTTGAACAGCTTTTTCATTCAAAAAAGGCTAGTGAACAAATTTGGTCTTGGAAGACAACTAAAAATCAGTATGATACTTACTTATAAAATGCTTATTTGTTTAAAAAGGCATATCTTAACATACACGAAAGGTCAAAAGACTGTTCTTTTAGGGCCCACAAATTAAACTGGTAAAATGAGATGTAGCACAGAGTTCCAGTATTGGGCTCTATACTAACTCTGTGAAGCCTTTAATAATTTAAACTAATTGCAGAGGAATTTTCCGAAGTATTTTAGCAAGATATCCTAGAAGGCAAATTACAAAGTTTCCACTGTAAAGACTTGTCTATGAACATGAACTGACTCTGAAAATTCTATCAAGTTTTTAAGCATAAGCTTTAAAGAGTTAGATAAATGACTTCATCACATATGCTGGTATGTTAGTAAATAACGGCATAGAATAACATACAAGTTTGAATATTAAAAAAAAGTCTTTAGAAGGAAGCATTACTTTGCATATACAGTCTTTCTGTGGAGGATTAAGTCAGATTCACCTTGAAGTACGTTACAGAAAGTGTCAATGCAGTTCAAAGATGGTGGGAAACAGAGAATCCAGATGGACCACCAGGAAGAAGTGGGAAGCTTGCAGGGAAAGAAGTCTACCCCTTCTTTCTGTGTGACTGAATACATGTATTTGAACCCTCTAACTATAAACTACCTTCTTGTAAACTGAATCTCTTTACCTGACGCTGTTGTAGCTACTCTTCCATCAGTTACTGCTTTGGAAGAAAGATATGTAACCATCTGAATATCTTCCTTTTCTTTACTGGGATATTCATTACGGAAAGTGGATTCTGTGGATAATGGTGATGCAACTTCCGAACTACGGCTTAAGTCAAGAGGGAGACATGGTCCACGCTTCTCAAGTGACATATGGGCAACATCAGGTACTACATAAAAGAAAGAATGTAATATTAAAAAAAAAAATACATAGGCCCAATAAACAAACAGTTTGGGTTGTGGTGTTATATAATATACGAACATAACAGAACTATAGCTACAATTAGTCAAAATATCCCATTAGGTGAGAATCACCTAACCTTTACAATTTAATTTCTCTTGGCTGTTTTTTATTAGATTAAGATACATTACCCTCCAATTTTGATGGCTGTTGATTTTGAGCCCTGATGGAGAACACTTTTCCATCAGTAACTGAAGAGGGAGAAGAAACTTTTTCTACAGAATCATCAGGCAACGAGCAAGTGGCTAAACGCTGAGATCTCCTCCTCCGTTGGCTATGTTTGTAGGATCTAGGGGAATTCACTGGCTGTGATGGACCTAAAAAGAGATCTTTCAATGTTCATGAAGCAGAGAGACACACCATAATCTTACCGTAGTGCTTTAGAGATCTAGAAATGGGGAGGGTTTTAAATAGCTCTCATCTGCAGAATTAATAATCACAACAGTAACTGGTAAAGTACTAGAAAAAGTTATGCTTGAGACAAGATTTTAGTTTTTGCTTGTAATATGTATTTCCGGGTATCTACTGTCCCACTAATAAGCAGAATTATCCCCCAGAAGACATGTGAACAGACCACCTATAAAGGAGTAGGGCAACAGGATTTAGCAGTATCAGATCCCAGTTAAATAAATCATCACAATTAAATAACTAAAAAGTCAGGAATATTATTAACATAAAACTTTAAAAATAAAAGTAGTGGTTTATAGCCAATTTCCCCATTTTCTGCTAACCTGATATCAATACCCCAACTATATTTAAAATGTACACTGTCAGTGTACAGCATAGCAAAAGGTCTGAAGAACCTCATTTAAAAATATTAAAAGAAAAAAAAAGAAAGGGGGATTGATATAGGATATTATAGGCCTGATTCATTAAAAAAAGAAAACCATGCACACAGACATCCCTAAGCCACTCCCCTCCTCTTCCACAGCTTCATAACTCTGCCTTGGAAAAATATCAACTCATATATTATTACATAGCAAATCACTCTAAAGAGTGATTACAGATGCTTTTGGGATGGACAGACTMAAAATAAAAACAAAACAAACAAGAATCAAATTTCCATTTGAGTTGGTCAAAGTATGAAAGTCACTGGCCCAAAGATATCACTAGAAAAGTCTAAGCTATTAAGCTACCAATATTAAAATTATTTTGTCTTTCAAATATTTCTGAAGAAAAGTTTAACATCAGTCAAAAGTGCAGATAACCTCAATACTTACTTACCATCATCAGGGTGGGGAAGGCATTTATTGTAAATGACTACTATTTTCTGGAGACACCTAAAGATATAACCTATACCAGTCTTTCCTAAATAAACAGACAACTGAATTTGCTTACTTCCCTCTCCCATTCATTTAAAGTTTTCTTTGAGAAAAGATTAAGAGTTATGTCCTATGGGAAGATATCAACTAAAGGCTAAGGGGGAACATATGATGCAGCTAATTTCTTAAGTCCTCATTTTAACCACTAATCTAAAAGGTAAAAACCTAATCTTTTGATTTACAGTAACCCATTATCTTCTGAGAATAAACAGCTTGTTCTACAAGGTCTGACTGAAGACTGAAAACTGAAGAAAAACTATAAAAAAATGCATTGGCTTATACAAAATATTTCAAATTAAAAAAAAAAAAGTCCACTCAAGGATGCAGCATATGTTTTTCCCGTTTCTTCCAATTAGTATTTTGGTACTTTGCAGGTCAGTCACACATGTTATGAGGCTGAACATCTATGGTACCTTCATGAGTTGGATCTTACAACATGGATCTTACCATTTCCTCACCACAAATCTTGAATTCATCTTTTCTTTCATGTTATATTTGGAGAAAATATCATATAAGGTAGGGAATGGAAGCATAGCCTATCAGTTCGCTGAATACATAATTTCTCAGAAAGGAAAAGATCCACAATCAAGAACATGCCTTTTCTTTTTAATGAATCAGGCCCCTTTAGAGGAGAAGTTTGATTTTTCCTGCAGCACTGTGGAAATTTAAACTATAGTGGAACTCAATCATTAAAAGCCATAACGTACTCTATGAACATAAATGAGTTATGTCTGGAAGAGTAATTTGTACACCTTAGAATGTGACTTGACTTCTAAAAATATTAACATATCCCTAATTCTCCACTTTGACTTTTTTTTTTAAAGCAGACTCATTTTTAAAACCAACACTGATTTACAATCAAAAATATATTTGTTTTTCTGTATATAATTACGATATTTTTTAAAATGTCTGTGCTCACTAGTTTTATTTATCACGGAAGAAGGAAGCTGAGAGACCAGCGTCAAATCCTCGACTTGTATTAACTCTGGGGAAAGTGGTGATTTAGGGGGCTTTATACACCCAGAAGAATCTCCAGATTCTTGTTTGCATTTCTTGCTGCGAGCCTTTCCTGAAGACAAAGTTGAGGATAACAGTGCAGGTTTCTGTATGCTGGCAGAACTGCTAATATCAGCTTCATTTTTTTTCTGACTTTGTGGTTTAGGTGAAATCTCCTGAATAAATAATAAAAAATTGATACTTTTATTTCAGTTTCTTCACTGTAGTTCTTGTATTCTACTTTGATCTTTTAAAGCAACTTTAGAATTCAAAACACAATTTAAAGCAACAGTTAATAGTTTCAATACAAGTGACAAATATATTCAAATAATTTTTAAAGGGGCATTGTCAATTATTTTCAGTATTCAAAATAGCTTATCACTATTTGAAATATCTATAAAAACCCTGGGAATTAAACTGTTCGCTTCTATCTCCACTCAGAAAACATACCAAGATCTTTTTAGTTTCTGTCTCTTTCATATTCAGAGTATACCACGCATGGAGTGACAAAGAGTAATTTGGAGAACACTACCATTAAAAGTTAGAATAAAGATGATCATTTAGAAGAAAATGCCTCAAGAAAACTTTTAGTTTTTAATTTGATGTTTAAGACAAATTTCACTTTTAGGAAAAAAATAAAAAACATGAAAAAGCTGACAATGCTCCTTTAACAAAAGCCTCAAAACAATTAAAAAAAATCCAAAATACTGAACACTCTCTCACACAACCCCTTTTAGTGCTGGGAGTCTGGATTTCACCACATAAAATGCATGCGCAAACACATGAAGAAATCACAACTTCTAGCACCACAGGGTTAAATAGATTACTAGCTGTGGAGAAAAAAATGAGCAGATAAAGAGTTAAAACACTTTTTGGGAAAAAAAAATATGATGCAACTTCCTATTAATACCAGTTTTCCTCCTTTTTGTTAATACACATGATGGAATATGATTTTCATACAATTCACATGCATTGRCAGACATTAGCAGAGTATTTTTATCTAGAAAGAAGTCCTGCCTATTTTACTGGGTAAGCTGTGTAAGAGTTACAACTTGCCCAGTAATGGCAAGCTATGGTACCCAGATACAATTTCTTAAATCTGTCCCCTTTCTTACCCCAGTTGACACAGTACAGAGTCACCTAACAAAACAGAATTATCAAAGTAGAAAGATATTCTAGACTATGTGCACGACTTAGTCCAAACTAAACAGAAATGTCACACTTCTGATGATTTGAGGGTATTATTCAGGTTTTTCAGTATAAAAAAAGCTTCATTTTCCACTGGAACATGGAAAGTGCTGGTGGAAACCAACATAAATGAACGTTGTATGTACACAAAAAGGCACCCTTGAATGCTGTATGAATAGCTTACATAGTACCATAAAAAGATCCAGTGCAAAATGTCCCCTTCAGCAGACATCACTACTATCTTGAGTAATTCCAATATACACACGTATTAAGTGTACTTTATTCATTAAAAAAAAAAAAAAAGCAATTCCATGAACGGTAGAGTATATCTATGCTGGTTATAAGAGGCATTACCAGAAATTAATTAGAGCCATAACTTGTAAATAAACAATTTTATTGTTCATCTTCACAGATGTGAAAGACAGTACTACAGCATCCATTATTTTCAAATTACAAAGTTTTTTAAACAAGATTAAAAAAATTAAATTAATATTTTGATAAGGTGCTTAACCTTTTAACAGGACAAATTAACATTAAAAAATCTTAAAGACTTAATGCTATTCATCTAAGCAGGTCTTGGTCAAAAGGAAATATAGCATAACCTACCCTAATACAGTTAAATATGCTACTGTATTTGCACCTAATTGTCTGAGGTTTCAGGTTCAAAAAAAATGTAAACTAAAAATATATATATATAAATATAAATATAAATAAAATATACTTCCATCAGCAAAGTAAGTTTCTGGCTGCTGAGTTGAATACTTCTACCATTTTCGGTATGATGTTATTAAAAAACAAGCAAATAAACAAAAACAAAATAAAAACAAAACAAAAAATCAAAAACAGAACGAAAAACAAAAACCAAAATTCAAGATATTTTATCTATCTAATTTTATAGCTGCAGCAAACAAAACCTCCAACTAAGGGTTGTCAGCTTTGCTACTGGAAAATATTTTGGGCAATCTGTAACTCTGCCAATGTTAATTTGAATTTGGGCAGGAACTTAGGGAAGAAAAGCTTTAAGCTCATAATTGTCCCCCACCTATACAGTTAATCATTTAAATATTTGTGGGGCTTCTGTTTTTAGACAGAAGAAAACCATCAGTATGAAATTTCAGATGCCTCTTTAAAAGAGCTTAACTAGTATTTCCAAAAGTTAGTTTTTTTCAGACCATTAGCATGTAAACAATGACAGAGACCTCTGTATTTTTATTTCTAATCAACAAAACAGAAACAGCTGAGTTACTAAGCCTAAGAAATAACAAAAGGTTTTCAATAAATATGCACTGCAGTTTATACTGTTGCATATACAGTCTATGTAAACCACAAAGTCCCACTCATCTCAATGGGATTCTGCAAGGATAAGATTTACACTGTAAAGATTCCTCCAGAAACAACATGCTCTCAGCCATTTCACAGTTTTTTGCACTTTGAAAATATTACACACAGTAGCAATAAGTCATAGCATCTTCCATATGCAAAAATTTGAGAAATGGAACGTCATGTCAAGACACTGTAAACCTTTATGCAAAGTATCAGTCACTGCACTGACACCGCAGTGCCTCAGGTAGCTGTTGCAGTGACTGCATTAAAAACAAAGTAATGCTCCATTGATAGCACTCACATTCAATGTGGTATCAATGGAAAAAACACCACAGCAATGTAATTATATATCAAATTATTGTATCGGCTCTAAAAAAACAGTACAACCAAAATATCAAAGGAAGTTTGGGGTAGGGAGTGCTTATAGAGTGTGCCGAGGTTTAAGAATAGAAGTGCTTTTTTTAAGTGCATGAAGCAAGGCTGTTTTACTTAAACGCTGCTATTAATGAATGAAAATTAATACAAAAAAGCTGTATTAAAACTACATTAAGGCTCTGATTTATAGCAAGGCAAAGCAAAGATGTCCAGCATCAAGACTACTTTTCATCCTTAGCTTGCTTTACTGTGCTTAAGCATTCAGCCCTTTTGATATGCACAATGTTGAGTCAAGCAATGCCTGAACACAATGGAATAAGCCAAAGAAAGTGGCAGCCTTTACGTGCTTCAAATATGCAGATTTAAAAATTAGACCCTTAACATTATTTAAAAGTTTCTTTTTTGTATTTATTAAAATTCACACCTTAGCAAAAAGTATGGCTCATTGASCAGTTCATAAAACACAATCTACAACATCTTTTCTTACAATATAAAAGAAACTTCTTATAAAAGAAGTTTTACTYGATGTCAAAAACACCTGTTTGGAACACAAATTAAATTTGTGTAAGGGTCTTCTCCTAAGCCACTCATAGTCATAATTCCAGCTATAAATTCTACCTTGGGAAACTGATCTCCTAATTTTTGTTGCATGGTGACTTTTTGCTTCTGTTTTCTGTTAGTTTCTTATATGAAAGTTCATTACTGAAACTCAAGTTAACTCTGCAGTCTGAGACAATTAAAAAACATGCATCTGGCTATGAGGAAATGTAAACATAAGAGTTTCAGTTCCCTATTATATACAAAGGGGCTAATTTTAGTGATGTAGGTACTACACCTCCATGGCACACTCCAGTGGGAATCTTGCAAAAGAATCAAACTCTACCATTTCATACCTGCTCCAGGACTGGAGCTGTTTCTTTGTTGCCTTCCTTTCTTTCAGCACCATCTGCAACAACAGCTTTGGATGCCAATAAACCTTAGAAGAAAAATTGCAGAGATTTTCATTTAGAAAAAGCTTGTGAGGAGGATTTGTGGAAAATAGAGCAAGATGGGAAGAGAAGCAGCATGAAGCATTTGTATTTCTAACATAATTCTCTCTAAAACAGCTCTAACACAAAGCTAAATGGGTTAAATCAGAAATAAGAAATAATTTCTCAGGATGGTTACCACAAACAAGAAAAGTATATACTGAAATGTCTGAAATGTCCACTAGCAAAATACACATACAAAAAGATCACACCAACAGTCATAAAATAATACCTCACCACTGTGAAATGCTTGGGCTTTAAAAGCCAGTGGATAAACCTTAAATAACTTTATAGAAATCCTTTTCTTCCTCTCACCCCTTCCGGGCTCCAACCCATGTCCATAAGGCAAAAGCRTTCAGAAAATTTGGGGGGGAAGAAGAGACTCCAGGAAAAACAAATTGTGATATTTTGTTACAGAGCTATCATTTTTTTGTGTGTATCACAAGAAGTTTTCAATTTATTTTTCATATATTTTTTCTGTTAGATTAAATCTTGCTTCAGTTTCCTAATAAGCAAATATTTTAAATTTTTTTTCTGAAGACCATCTTCAAAACAAGAGTCACAAAGTACTAAGATTTTACATCTGAAGAACTGAGTTAAATTCAAAGCAGAAACTTACTTAGCCCTAGGATATTAACACAAATATTGTCCAAAAACATTTTAATTCTGCATTAGATTTCATGAAAGACAATACTCTTGCATATAAATTAACCTTTGCAACTTTAATTATCTTTCTTAATTCTGACTTGATTTATACATCTTCTTTATTTTGATCTCTGTCACAGAAAAAACAAAATAATTTTTAAAATTTAGTGAAATAAGTATTAYATATTAGATAATGAGATACAGAACAGAATTCAGATTCTGAAGTTCTACAGAATTTCAGTAACAGTGACTTGGGAAAAATAAATCCCTCAGTGTTATCCTGTATCTAACTTTTATAGTAAAATTGAAAAGATATTACAGTTGGAGCATAATTGGAAGACAAGTACGAATAAGGCAGGACTACTTTTCAGAAAGGTTTTCTTTACATTTTCATGTTTGTAGTAACAAAAGTCYCCAATATAAAAAACAAATTAAGAAAGTACCTCATGCTTGACTCCTGATAATACCCCCAGATGAATCAGAACACTTGTTTGTGCTAACATAAATAGGAAGATAACTTCCTGTTTGAGAGTGCTTAAACAAGTCTCAGGCTATACTGACTCATTTATCTACTTGAAGAGTTTTATTATTTTTCCCACCTAGAAACTCAGGGTTCAGGAAGGACAATCACAGCTCAGAAACTGGCTTAAATTCTGGCAGACCTGAATATAAAGCCCTCTCTATCTTCCTCTTCCCATGAGATATATAACCAAACACCATGGTTATAGAGAACAAGTACCAGGACTCTCACTAGACCATCTCTGGTGAGCAACAGCATGCAAGAAACAAAAGCATGGTGCAGCACAGTGAAGAACAAGTATTTTGTTCTGTTAGCTCACTGTAGATATTAATCGCTCTTTAAGATAATGCTGTACTGGGAAATATGGAAATAAACACTCCAACAGAAGTAAAAACTAGCTGGAGAGAGACTCTAATAYCTTCTTAATGGTGACAACATTCAGCTTCTAGAAACTAATTTACCCAGAATAGGAGCAGCAAAAGAACTGAGCAACATTTTTTACCAGGTGATTCAAAGAACACCTGGGCTGCTGCTGTCCTCACAGCAGACAGGACAAATAAACGAGTATTCAATGAACAAATATTGAATGTTGAATTGAAATTTGAAAAGAGTTCCCTTCAAACAGCCTGTACAGCCAAATTATTAGCTCTACATTTATTTACTTGCCCAGTACAATTCCTATGGTATCTGGTAAGCGGTGATGGGACAGCTCATGCTAAATGCTATCTCTAAACACATGGAAGACAAGCGGGTCTTGTCTTGTTGAATTAGGATTCAACATGGATTCAGCAAGGGGAAAATCACGCTCAAACAACCTGACAGCCTCCTACGATGGAATGACTGGTTGGATAGATGAGGAGAGGGCAGTGCATGTTGCCTACCTTGACTCCAGCAAAGTTCCTGACACTGTCTCYACTAGCATCATCATAGGCAAGCTTAGGAAATGTGGATTAGATGAGAGGACAGTGAGGTGAATCAAAASCTGGCTGAATGGCAGAGCTCAGAGGGTTGTGGTCAATGACATAATCTAAGCGGAGGCCATAGAGACAGTGGTAGTCCCCAGGGGTCAATACTGAGTCCAGTCTTGCTCCACTTATCGATGAGGAAAGAGAGCGCACTCTCAGCAAGATTGTTGCTGATATAAAATTGAGGGCAGCAGCAGACACAACAGGGGTGTGCTGCCATTCAGAGGGACCAGGCCAGGCTGGAGAGTTGTGTGGAGTGAAACCTCATGAAGCTAGAGGCAGGTGCAGGGTGTTGCAGTTAGGGTAGAATAAAAGGAGCTACGTGCCCAGGAGGACGAACTGACCATGAGCCAGCAAGGGCCCTTGTGGGGAAGGCTCATAGAAGCACAGAGTACCTCAAGAAGAGCTGCCAGCAGGTCAAGGGAGGAGCTTCTGCCCCTCTTCTAGCCCTGGTGAGACCAYGTGGGGAGGACTGTGTCCAGGTCTGGGCTCCCCAGAAGCTCTCCAGAAGACAAAGCTAGTGGAGAGCAGCCATGGCAGGGCTAAAGATGAGTAGGGAACTGGAGCATCTCAACTGTAAGAAGAGACTGAGGGCTGGGCCTTTGTAGTCTGAAGAATAGGGGGCTGAGAAAGGAATCTTATCAGTGTGCACAAATATCTCAAGGGAGAGTGTCAAGGGGATGGGGCGAAGAATAGAACAAGAGGCAACAGACAACCTGAAACAGAAGCAGCTTCATGTGAACATGAGGAAAATCTCACATGTGAGAGTAACAGAGCACKAGAACCAACTCTCCAGAGATTTTGTGGAATTGTATTTGAGTAGATATCACAGAGATACTCCAAACAGCTTGGATGCAATCCAGTCCMATGTGCTCAAGGTGATCCTGCTTGTGCAGGGGAGGTCCCTTCCAACCTCAACCTTTCTGTGATTCAGGGCATGAATGTTTTCTAAGAGTTAAAATGCTTTATTGTTCTCTTATAACCATTTGGATGGGTACGCTCWCCACAAGTATCACCCCTAGCCTTCCTTCAAATCAAGTAAAACTCATGGTGGAGACAAAATATAAACATATAATGTTCAAGCATAACTTAGCATATAGCAAGATAAAATGTGATCATCAGCATTTACATTTTCAAAATTCCATTCAATGTAGCAATAAACAAAAGCACAATATGATCTGCAAACATGGGTGCTGATGTGAAAACAGTTCAATACGTATAGTAACTATCAAGCATAACAAATTTGGTCTTGGAATTAAAGGATTAATTCACKTTCACCCAAAGGTAACAAAACTGCAGTTAGCAGAGAAAGTTTTCCAGAAACAAATAAAAACTCTTTTTGTGAGAGATAACTCAACAGCTGCAGCATTTGTCATCTAACTACTAAATAGATGCTCATACGAAAACTGACTAAATCTTCTCACTTGACTTACAAAAGGCAGCATCAGCAAAAACAAGTCTGCAGAAACCCATCATACAGTTTAGTAAACTGCAGCATCTCATTTAAGGGAAGGCTGACAGTGCTGGGATATTTCACTCTGGAGAAGAAGGCTGAGGAAAGATCTCACCTATATATACAAAATATGGTGTATATTTCAGGTGTCAAAATGGTGTATATTTCAGGTGTCAAGAGGATGAGGCTAGTCTCTTCTCAGTTGTGACCAGCAAGAGAACAAGAGAAAACAGGCACAAACTGAAACACAGACAGTTCTTTCTGAATGTAAGGAAAAGCTTCTTCATTGTGAGGGTAACAGAGCACTGGAACAACTAGGCAGAGAGGTAGTGGAATTTCCATCCTTGGAGATATTCAAAAAAACCTCTGGACACGGTTCTGACACAGGTGCTCTCACACTGCTTGAGTATGGATGGTTAAACTAGATCTCCAGAGGTCCCTTCCAATCTCACTTGTTTTGTGATTTTGTGAGCTTAGCTTAAAAATATTCTATATTTTTTCCAGATTTTTTTTTTTTTTATTTTTTTTTCTAGAGCCCTAGAATAGGCTGCCCAGGGAGGTTGCAGAGTCTCCTTCTCTGGAGATCTTCCAAACCCACCTGGATACCACCCTGTGCCACGTGCTCTAAGTGTCCCTGCTTGAGCAGAGGGGATGGACTAGATGATCTCTAGAGGTCCCTTCCAACCTTAACCATTCTGTGATTCTGTATCTCTCTGTTTTCATTTAATATGCTTGAGTAACAAAGCACAAGTGCTTTAGATACTACCAAACTCTTTTAGCCCTTATTTCAATTCATATTTAGGTTTTATACTTTATTGTAAACCTTTCAGCAACCATGTTACATTATGATAAACTAGAATAGAACATTTGACTTTCCCAAACCAGTAACAGCATTAATTTACAGTGATGATATGTAACTCATGACTGTCAAAAACTTGTGCAAATGTCAAATTCATCAGTTAATGAAGTAATGGGGCAGCTGGAGTTAAAAAGTACAAATATACAAAAAACAGATTTGATTTGTATTTTTAATTTTCTAGGAAGATAATTCTGATCACAGACTCTTCTTTGAAATCTCAAAAAGATTCGATTATATTACTAATTCCTGATTGCTTAAAATCCCAAACCAGAGCATAGCTAATATCTACCTGATAAATGCGCTTCTACTGAACAATTTGAGTACTTTTTATGTAAGTATACATATTTCAACACACTAGAAAGGAGTAATTATCTTAACAACAGCAAATAAAAAAGGAAGTTTACCAGTGATCTTGTTAAGACGAGCTCTCTTTGCCTGAAACGAGTTGCCTAGATTGCTTTTCCTCTTGTGGGATAATGTGCTCTCCGCCTGCACAAAGGCCATCTTTGGAACATCCACTACTGGAAAGCCTACTGTTAAACAAAAGGGAAATCTATTAAGATCACATTTAATAAAAATTTATCAAAACCAACATTTTAACATTTCAGAATGGCTATTACATTTTAATAGCTATAAAACTAGTTGCTGTATCAAAACCGACACATTCTAAAGACTTACAGTATTATAAACTGAAGCACTGAATGTCAACTACTTTAAAACAGCCATTTTTATTCAGTATTATGAGAAGTACAGTAGTAAACTATTAAAATAAACGTATTTTTAATCAATCCTGAAACAGTCGCAACCACTGCTGAATCATCATCCACACTGGAAAAGTTATCTTAAATCCTAGGAGTATCTCACAGTTAACAAAGGATTCACATATCGGATCTAGAACACAGCAGCCTTCTAAAACCTACATTTTAGTCTTAAGAGGTGGACAGAATTTTTGCAAAAAGGCAAAAGGAATAACTGCTCACCCAGCTAAACCTCACTGAAAACAGTTTCTTATATGATTAGGGACATTTAATTAATTTATTAACTAACAATGCTATTTCATCCTTTATAGAATTTGTTTTTACCAAACGTGTCACTAGACGTAGGTTCCTCTTCCTTTTTTTGGACTTCCTGCATGATTGTAGAGGTTGAGGTTTCTTCCTTTTTTGAAGGAACTTTTAGCCACTTTCTTTCCTCTTTATCTTTATTGCTGTTTGCGCTGGTTCTAGGTTTACTTGCTGCTTTGTTCTTGGCTGCTGCGGCTGCAGCAGCTTTGACCAAAGCTATCCAATCCTCCAAGAAGGAAAAAAATGTAAATATCAAAAACATGGTTGAAATTCAAATATAATATATTTTAAAAATGAACTTATCTAGAAATGTTCCAAAGCAGTTGAATATAATTTTATAGCTAGGACTCAGGAAGTGGCAAAAATGGGTCCCCAAATTGCCTATATAAATTTGAAATATTATCCATATGCTATGTGGATAAACAGCCATAAAAAAAATGCTTCAGATGGACATGGGTTACAGAATTCTAGCTTCACTAGTTCCCTACAATCTCTTTTACCAGATTTAGAAGCTCAAAAGCTACCCAACTCAAACAAACCACTGACATTATTGCCTTTCCAGCTGTGAAATTACACTGTTCATCATTTGTACCGTTGCTCAAATTTAACTGTTATTCAAAACTACAATAAGCCTTAAAGGTAGTCCAGAAAATTGCATGACATATGAACAGAGCTCTTCTGAATTAGATGAATAAAGCACTGACAAAGCTTTTAGAATTATACCTTTCTCTTTTTTTTTTCCTTCAATAACTACAGGTAACTTTTTTTGTATTTTGTTTTCCCCAAATTTTTCAATAATTTCTATAGAGCTYTCCAACACAGTTAGATTTTACAACACACAACTAAAGAGTACCATTTAAAAATGGAYAATTTGACCATATATGATCATCTAGGGAATAAAGACAGAAATTATCGATAAGTGTATCTAACTTTAGAAATGTAAATTAGAAATGTAAATGAAGACTCTAGACACCATATACAGAAGAAGAGAATTAAACACCTCCAGAGGTCAAGCCAAGCTCTTTGCATTAGACCTGGTGTCTTCGAAGTGTCAGGGATTAACCAAATCAAACCAAGAGCAACGTTTACAACCCACTAGTAAGTACTAAATATCTGAATGGGTTTTTGAAGAACTAGCTTATTAGAGAGATTTGGCTCCAAGAGTATTTTAGGTTTGTTGAGTCAAATATAAAAAACAACCCTTACAATAACAATTCCAATTGTCTGTTTTTGCATCAATGCTTTAAAAACAGTAAAACTTCCTTTCAACATTAAACTATATTTTACCCTGGACTGTTTCCTCACTGCTATGTTACAAGACACTTGAAGTATCTTTGTTTTTATAAATCTTGTTTCATACAAAACACATMATTTTTTTCCCCTCAAGAGAAGATTCTATAATTCTCTTATATTACAGTTCTACTGGGGTTTCCCAGAATGTACAAGAGCGGCATAACACAAGTTAAATAAATGTTACTTTTTCCTGTATTATGCTTTTCCTTTTGCAAAGCTCAATAAATCATTCAGTGCTTGTAATCAATAYTTGTATTCATTGTAATCATTCAGTACGTGTAAGGTACCCAACTATATGGTGTCCAACTAACACACTTTGGCAAAAAGAGTTTTAGCCCCTCAAAGATGATGTGTTTTCATGTCCAAAACTGTCAAAGCAAGAAGCTTATGTTCAGATTAGCTAAAAGGGCTTCGGGAATGGGTTYAGAGCAGGCTGTGTCCAAAGCCATGTGGTGCCAATGCCAGCCATGAAGAACCCATCTAACCACTWGATGCAGCCTCTTGCTTGGTCCACCAAAGACAGCACACAGTAACTCCAGTGCATCTGGAGCCTTTCCCATCCAGCAGCTCAAAAAAAAGCATGTTGGTGGGCAGACAGGAGACCTGATGATAGTGTTGTACTGTGCTCTGGCCAAGGGATGAATAGGATCCATAACACTGCTGGAGCTTGGATCACATAAGAGCACGGAGAAAGGGAAGTGTAGTCAGCAGCAAAGCAGCTTCTTAGCAGCTTTCCCAATGTCAGTCRGGATAGGCTCCCTGAGGTCAGCCCTCCAAAGAGTATTTCAAGCTTCAAGGAACACACTGAGCTAAATATCCTGGTTTAACTGATATTGTGCAACACAAGTTTTTGTTTTCAGTACTTGGTTACTCAACACATGGCACTTRCAAAGGGTGGCAGGACACACAAGAACGAAACAAGGCTAAGCACTGAGAAGCCACAGCAAGTTATTTATAGTGACATTTATGCTTTTTCTCTTACAATGTCTTTTAAAACACAAACTCAGTGAAGAGAATTGGCTGGAAAAATATTTGGGTCCATTTTTATATTGGCTGAGCAGAAACATAAACATGACAAAAAATTTCTGCTTTTTAACTCTTGAAGTTCTGCTGAGCAACTATTCACCTGCACAGAACCTCATCTGTGAGAACTACCTAAACATCTGGGATGCTAAGGTGATCACCCACCCTTTGGAGGATTCAGAAGTTGCTACTTCAAGAAAAGGTGACTCTTTAAAGTTGAATTCCTGCCTTTTTTTTTAAATAAGAATTTTTGAAAGTTTTAACAAAAAAAGGGAGAAGGTAGAAAAGGAAGCTAAACCAGAGAGAAAACAAACTGAAATCTCTCTTTAGTTAGGGCCATCATAAGGTATCTACTCTGTCAACCACAACAGCAAGATTCTACCGTAGTTACTGCATAAACTATTCATAGAACTTTAACAGCAGGGTTTTTTTTCCTTGTATGTTCCGTAAACCTGAAGCCCAGAATGGAAAGAGGAGCACATTACGGGAAGAAATTAAATTTCTCCTAAGATAAGTTTCCCCTGCTTCTCTCTAGTGCTCCAACTTCAGCTCTTTAGCAGCTGTGGTATTTTAACTGTTCAAAGGGCTCATATCCAACTCGATTTCCTCCTTTCCCACATAATTTCACCCCAGTGAATGTTCCTCTTATCTAGGTAAGTTTTRAAAAGTTGCATTTCCTCCTTTTCCACTTTTAAGGTACATCTTTAAAGTAAGCAAAGAAAATTGGCAGAAGTTACAGGACACTGCAGTTAAAAGACAAACTTTTACCATATGGCTTCTGTGGAAAAAAAAAAAAAATCTATCACGCTTATTAGATTCACTAACCAAAGCACAGGAAATTGCACTATCAACAAATTAGCAGCAATCCAACACCCTTATACATCAATTAGCAACCTAAAATAAATAAATAAACCCATTTTAAAAAAATATTCCATTGCATAAGCTTAAACCTGCAACAGTAGAAAGGCAAGAACAGGATCATKTCTCAAAGCCAATCTTTGTGCCAGTTCCAGCTTTCACATGCACCACTCACCAACCTACAGCCACCACCTTCTGCACCTCTGTGGTGCCACCTCTTCAGCTCTTCTTCCTCTCCTGTCACACACAGCTCCCAGCTCTCTCACGCTCACACACACACGTACACAGAGCACCACCAACCTACTGACCGTCTGATGCCTCATCAAGGCCGGACTCCTCACTCTCACCTTTCAGCTCTAAGCAGTCTGTCCCACCTACATCTTGGCTCACATTGCTTCCTGTCACATCTTCTTTTTCCCTCTGTCCCCATCGTAAATCCACGCTTTTTCCTCAGCTTCCTCTTCCTGGGTGCCAAGTCCCCTCCCTCTCCTTCAAAACCCTCCTCAAAACTCACTTCTTTTGGTTCGATTTCCGTCACTAATCTCAGCTCCGGCGCTATCTGCTCCCTCTCGCGCGCCTAATTACATCGAAGATAAAACAAAAACATGAAACAGAAAAATTAAGTTATCTGAATACTTCATATGTGCTCTAATAAGGGCAGTTATACCCCCATCTTTTATTTTCCCTCTGCACTACTTTAGCCATATTTCTGTGTTATTTCAATTAATTCGAGCTTTCCCACAGAGAAACGCAGCCCACAGTCTCCATTCATTGAACTACACCAGGATTTTCATTCTTAGATTTTTTTATTTTGCTTTCTACCCTCAGCAGCTGAGGCTTATAAAACAGACGTGCAACTCAAACACTGAGTTTGAACGTTAACATCTATAATCCCTTTAAGGCACAGTAAGCTCAAATTGTTGTCAGTATCATTACATTTATTGACAAAATAAACGTGCCTAATACAGATAATCTAATGTGTGCCACATCAGATCATGTCTCTAGAGGCCATAATCATTGCTCTTGCYCTCTTGGTCAGATGCAGTCAGGAACACACTTTCTTTCAGTAAAACTGAGAACTGGAACATTAATCCTTGTATACAAATTCATGTTTGCATGTTTGTTTATAAGCACTTTACTAAGTACTATACTGAGTACYAAGTAATTTACTATTTTATAATTAGTATCACTAATATTCATTAACAAAGAACTAAGTCTATATCTCTCTTCAGAGTTACGAAGGTTCTGCACAATTAGGACATAACTTCCAAAACAGACCATCCATTAAGCTTTTCTATATTCTACAATTTAAAGAATTTCTTAAGACATATATCTCAAAATGTATTCTTCTTTGGAAAAAGAAAGAAAAAAGCTGTAGGTTCAGAGCTAGGCATGAAAGGTCAGATCTGTCAACTGCACTTTCTCATATCAAATTATATTCCTGGCTTTTTCGGGTTATAAATCATTTATTAGAAATGTGTTCACATAAAAGAATAAGGCATAAACTTCAAAACATTCATTTCAGCTTGAGGCATTGTCTTAGATCAATCTCAGTTTCAGATAACTGATTTTCAAACAAAATCTTAGATTACTAATAACTAGATTATGATTAGAGTCACAAAAATATTTTGAAAGGTAAATATTTGGAGAAGCTTCCTCTCTGAAAGCTACAGAATTTTGTGCCTCTCTCTAATTCTGCACAATTAAACACCAAGTATAGTACCAATTAGTGTGGCAGGAAGCATATCTGGCACTCCCATTGCTGGAAGACAGCCTTGAAAAATCTAATTCTATGACAAGTAGTGCTAAGTTTGGTCCACTTTTTCTTCCTCAAGATTTCACTGAAGCTACCTACATTCAGCCATGGAAATGCATGATCCTGRTGCCATCATTCCCAACCACAAAAGAAAATCGGGAATTCTAAGATAAGCTGGGCTGCCACCAAGCATATCTGGATATCAATATGRTAGCTACCCAGCATCTGTAAGAAACTGAATCTATTTCTGTATTTTAAGCTAAAAACGGCTGTGGTCTAAGAGCAACAACTCAGGACTAGATAAAGTATGCCTGCCTAGAAAAAGCACAGGACTAGGAAGAAGGGACTTCTTCACRTTAAGAATGAAATGTTCTTTTAACCTACTCACTAATACATTTACCAGGTTTTCCTCTTTAGGAAGAGATGCTCTAGCTTCCTAACTTACTTTCATAATGAAAATATTAAAGTACTATACACTCATTTAACAGAATTATTGCTATATTGCAGCAAGAAGCCAGAGGCAGCCTGAATAGAAGCTTCAGTTTTAGTATCTCTAAGGAATGGTGGCTTAAACATTACAAGTGCTGCCTGCACAGTGTTGCAGGGCTTAGATGTTCAATCCTSATATAAAGCCACCTTGAACGTGGAAGAGGTGGCCAGGATACAGAACCATTTTCTGCACAATTCTTGTCTCCATCTGCCTTTGTCTTGTGAGCAGAATACAGATTGTTGCAACTGTAATTGTTAAATATCTGAAATTTGCAACAATACAAAGTCTTTTCACATTTCTTGTATGTGAGTTTCATGCAGTTTCAGAAGAGTTATTTCTCATTAATTATGATAATATAGTTATCATGCAAAATAAAACAAATAATTTTCACAGAAAGCATATGACTGTTTTTGATGTTGGATTTTTCTTTTTTAGAGATATCATCTACCACTTCACAGCCTGCATCCCTATCTACTCAGCATGTTGCCCTCATTACAGCAACAAGGACATTATCAGARGTAATATTTACCCCTCTGAACCCTTAAAAAGAATAGAGGGGAGAGAAAAAAAATAGAACAGTGGTGTTAACAAGAACACACGGTCAATATGTCTAGAACTGAAACAAGTCAAGGTTGGGGGGAAAGGAAGAAAAATCAGCAGAACAGACCACTGGGAAACTGAAAACTTTTTCCTCAAAGGCCACGAAAGAAAAAAAGTGTCTGGATGCCCTCGTACTCGTGGCCTCCACAATACACAACTCTGGGAGAAATTAGCCAGCAGTGTACAGCATCTAGACATTTCAGAGAGAGGCAACATTACTGGAGCAGCGCACACTCAAAGGCATCAKAAGCATCAACAATAAAAAAGGTGAAGCAAGACAGTGAAGGACCCAGAATAAAAACACTAATCTAAAACTAGCAATGCTAGATGATGTTTACTAGCTTTCAGGGTTCAAGATATTAGAAAAATCAGTTAATTTTGTTAACAAAATAATACCTAATATTCTTACCTGCCCTTTTGCATCCTCTGGCATAGATTTGATGTGCATCCTCTTAAGACACCGAATAACACCATCGTAGAACTGTACTGTGAACGTTCCTAAAAAAGAATTTATATAATTACTAGAAGAAGTTAAGAAACAAGTATAGCTTATCACTCCGATTACCACAATGTTTCACAGGCTATATAAACAAAGCAAGTCAGTGTTAACTACACATAGGATCAAGAATTTTAAGAAAAATAAAAAATCCTGCTTGTCACCTTTTGTCCACTTGTGTAATTCTAGGTTTAAGCTACCAGATCGCTTTTATTTATACACTGATTGATTGAGCATTCAAGCTATCACTACAAGGAAATAATTGGTTCACAACCAAATGTTCATTTGATTTAAACTACAGTAAAAACTTTAAAAAACACGTGAAATGTTGCATCTAAACCATTTTCTTTTGTTCTAGATTTCCGTTATTATTCTACAGAGTTTAAAAACACTATTCTACAGAGTTTAAAAACACTTATTTCCTAAAACAACTAAGAGAATTTGGTTCAACTCCGCTGGATTTAAATCACCAACACTATGCAAAATATTAATAACACTACTCAAAGTATATTTTTCTCATCACTGAGGAAATATTTGGCATTTTATTTTCTAGGAGACATTCTAGGTTTTTCTTCTCATCCAGATAAYAGATCAAGTATTTTACTAAATTTGGTAAAATAAACATCTTCAGTAGTACATTGAAGATATAAAGGAAGCTTTACACAAATGCCCCTTTAAAGTGGGCTACAGCTCCAGAATACAATGCATAAATAGTCCTTACAAATGGACCATATATCAATACATACCCTCTTTATTAATTGCTTCAATCTTTGCAGGATAATACCGACAGTCAGTCCAGCGAGCTAGAACTTCTTCTCCAGGTTTAAAATCCTGTTTTAAACAATTTAGTTATTAATACTTGAAACATTTAGATATTTTTTCCTAAAATGACTTAATCATTGTGCACTAGAAAGACTCACTGTAGGAAAGCAAATACAACAGCTTACCAAAAAAAAGCCAAAGCCAAAATAAATGTGCCACTTACAACAAATTCCTCATCATCTTTCAATCCTTCTTTCCTTAATGCTGGTCGCTCCAAGGGTCGCAACCTATTGCTATCCCAGTAAATCCACTCATCGTAGCGATGACTCCAGCGTTCAAAATGCACCAACATCTTCCCTTCCTCATAGTCTATCTTCTCAATACGAGATGGATACCTTAAATGATAAAAAGAAACTGATAAATTTAAAAGCCTTTTTTTCTCTCCAGACCTTTTTTTTTTTTTTTTTTTTTTTAAAGATACAACAGCATTTATATGACCATTCAAAAAGTTATAAGTTAACATTTTGTACTCGGAAATTCCCAAGACTGAAACAGATTAACAAATTTGGGTAACAAATAGAATAACATTTAGTTCAAAACACTGCTGCACGTCACTGAGATATCATCAGCTTCACCACAGATGATTATATACAGGCATAAATCTGAAACTGCAAGATGAAGCCTGAAATGGATAACAGAAGTTGGAACTTAGCTGTTTTTAAGTCCATGTTCATTTAAGGGAAAAATAAAAGAAATTTTGGTTGCTTAGGGACGGGTAGGAAATCAACTAGATGTTTAAGTACATTCATTACCTTTAACATATGAAATGTTTCACTAAGCTGTTCCCCTGATTTCAGACAAATTCAACATCTAATCAAAACAAGTCACTTGAACATTCCCACACAATCTAAGACACTCACTAATTTAAAGATCATCTTCAATGATTTCATGGCCATTAAATCTGATTCACAGTTCTTAAGTTTAGCAGTCTTTTCTTGTAACTGCAATAAATACGTCTATCTTGACACATGCACTTTACTTACACAAACACTGTATATACACTTAGAATCAAGACGGAGACGGAACAAATCTTACGTATTCAACTCTGTAGGTATTGCAAGGATACAATATGTATTTGAAAAAACTTATAGTTCAGGTACCATAAAGTTTAACCAGAAAAATGGCAAATTTATCTATAATTATTTGTATTATTCAGCCTTACTATTTGTCCCCCAAACCAGAATTGTTTCACAAAATGGTAGTAAGGCAGCAAGGCATGAATTGTTTTTGTCATGCTACTTCATGCTATAAAGTGCATAAAAAATTGGAATAATGCAAAACTCAGCTCCTCCTCCTTAGAGTATTACAACAGACCGAAAGGCACAAAAATCTACATTTTTATAGAACTGATTATCGAACTGTCTCCCAATACCCTATTAGTGAGGAATACTACTGACACAAAGGAATTCACTCAGTATTTTCTATTTTGGAAATATTTTCTCTTCAGAATATCCTGCTTCCTTACACAGGTATTTTTAAATACCACTTTCTGTTTAAAATATAGTTCAAGCAGGGTAGCTTTTCCTTCTTTTCTGCTGACTACTGGGAAAAGGAGGTTAAAACAAAAGGGTGTCATCCTTTCAACTTGCTCCCTCACTCTCCTCATTCTCTAGTCCTCCTTCTTCAGGAGCAGCCCTACATACAACTTCCTCACATCCAAATATCTCACACTTATCAGAGCTGCAGAATGACAAAAACTCTCTCATCTACTAAGTAGCTACCACAAGCTCTCGTTGCATTTTTCTCATCCATACATTTCAGAAATGGTAAACATTTTCACGGCCATTCCTTATGTTTCTAACTTCTTTTTATTGAACTTTAAAGGTTTTGACAGGCTGACAATGGAGAGTCTGTAGTTTTAATCTGAGGTGCAGAGTTTGAGAAACAAGAATGACCCCTTAATGCCCCCAAAGAAATCCGAAAACAACAATAAAAATCAAATGAGGAGAGTGAAAAGGATGTTATCTTGCAAGAAAACAAAACTGAAAATCAAAACCAAAATTCTGTTATCAACATTCTGGTATATTAATTTTGAGTAATGTTTAATGTGAATGAAGGAATGGTTTTACCTAAGCAAAAAACGACACTTTATCCTTAGGAGTTTTKGGGCCGCTACTCTTATGAAGTTAACCAAATATAGTCTTACTAGTTTCTCAGTATTTCCAAGTCTTCCCATTTCAAGCTTTTAAAACTATACACCAAGTGTCAGAAAAAGCAGAAAGTGCAGCCAAGCAGAGGAAAAAGTCAATTTACTCCGAATAAACACGAGTTCAACATTACTTGAAAGAATTCTGATCAGTAGTTAAGGAGTAATACAGAAAGCATCCAAAAGACTGACAGAAGGAAAAATACTAGAAATGCAAGCGAACAAGAGGTTCTGCCTTGCAACAATCAAAACTAAACACTCTTTTCCTTAGCTCTTTCTCCCAAGTTCTTTCTCCTTAGCAGAGGAAAACTCAGGTTAGTTATAGAGACCAGCAAGAAGATGAGGTAAAACTATGGCTACTTTATGGAATTCAGGGATGTCAGAGGTGAGATATCTTCTTCTAGGTACCTAGAGGTAGGAGGAAATGGGCCCAYCACACACTGTCGTCGAGCTGCTCCCTTACTACATTTTTATTGTTGTACGGCTTGTAGGTTTAGTCATCTGGTCATCAGTAATAAAATCAGCATTTCAAGCACTGCACGTAGAAGGAAATAAAAAGGACACAAAGCCTTGGAAAGAGAAAACCAGTGAAATACAGATTATAGCTTATAGACAAGAAAGAAAACTACATTAGGGAAAGTCAGCAAGACACATAGGTCGTTAATGAATTTCAAAAGAAAACAAAGAAGAAACCTAATATCAATTAATAAAAGATGCAAAGTATTTAGTCTCATTAGGGATTATCCAGCAGTGCTATGCAAAAACAAAACCAAGTGTTTAGTGATTTATTTCTCTGATAGTTTCCGCAAATCAAATTGTTTCAAAAAAATTTACAAAGCTAAATCTTGTAACTATCACGTCACCATTACAACCCCGTTTTATTCCAATAAATTATATTTCTTAAATATATGTTTTTAAACTGATCAGGTTCCAGGATAAATAAAATCAAAAGCTGCATCCAATCCTAATCTTCAGAAATGGAAGATCAGCTAATCTCTTAAACGCCCAGGCTATATATGACTGGTTATAAGTAAACCAAAAATAACTTTGTACAGATTTAGCAACAAGATATTATTCTCAACATCCACTACATTTGGCCAGAAAGTGTACCACAAGTATGTAGAAAGAGTAGGATTTTACAATACTGGTCCCACAGTACAAAAGATGACAGTAGGTTTTTATACTTACATGTATACTGCAGAATTTACTACTGCAAATTTTACATTGCACAGAAACACTCTTTTGTTATTACCATTTTTGCATTTTTACTGAAAGAAATTTCATAAATTGCAAAGTTTTACAAATGTTTGAAATGGAAGTATGCATTTCCTATCAATAAAACAAAAAAAAAAAAGGAGTAAAATAAAGTTGATATTGAAGTTTTAAGAACTCCAGTAACAATGTATGCAGAAATGACAAAAGTTATTTTTCTTTATTGGAAAATATTTGCTCATCTCATTAAGAGTCAAAAAAAATTTGCAATGCACTCAGATTTCTTGATTAGAATTTAGCAATTTCTTCTGTTAAGTTTCAAAGAATAACTAAATTTTTACCCGGAGCTGCACTAACAGGCTTTGTTAATTCATACCATGTATAATAAAGTTTTTGCTGAGTCCAAGCAATGTTGATCTTGGTCCTGTTGGAAAAAGACTACTACAAAAAAGGTTATACCTGACACGGAAGATCATTTACATCCCCTCAGTTGCAAAACTATAGGTAGACATCATGAAGTATGACAAACTTGCTTTATACTGCTGGAATGTGATTATGTCTAAGGACAAGCTACCTATCAGTCTTTTACCTATCAGGTATTTTACCTATTTTACCTATTTTATCAGTATTTTACCTATCAGGTATTACTCCCTACCCCACACTAAGGAATTTCCCAAGATTCCTCTAGCACAAGATATAAAGCAGCAATCTGGAAGAAAAAAAAAATGCCGCCGCCACCACCACCAAAAAAGGAAAATACAAACAAACTCTTTTGATGATTTAGAAAAAGGTCTTTATAGGGAGAGGGAAAGGAAAAATCCATGATGTTCCTGCTCAATAATGCAATCATTCTTTTAGTGAGAAGGACCAATAACCCTTTTTTTATTTTGTTTAATTTTTATTTTTAATAGCAATAGTCTGCAAGCATACTGGAAAATAAATTTAATAATCCCAAAGCCTCACCCAAAATTCAAATTACTTTTAGAGAGAGGAAGCTTTTTAGCTGATACCTGCTTAATTTATAGAAAACTTACTCTCCATTTTCAAGTTCTAATGATTACAACCCACGAGACTTACATAACCTCATTTGTAAAATTGCAAAACTTGCACAGCTAACGTAAGTGAGGCAGTACTGGTCAGAAAAATCATACTCATATTGCAATAGGAAAAGTTAAGGGGTAGGCATCATAGTTTTTCTTTCCTCATGGTGAAATATCTTCAAACGTCCACTTTTCCAATCCAATCAAGAGACATTAAAGGACACAAGAAAMTACTTGGCAGGTTTAAAAGTCAATGACCCTTGAAAAGCTGTCAGTGAAGTAGGAAAGCACCTATTTTAAGAGATGGAAAAACAGATGCAGAAACACTAAGCAATATGCCCAGGGCCACACMTACAGAAAATCCACAAAGTCACACATTTCCTGAGTTCACAATAAGAAGTTTTTCCTTCCATCTCAGAAGATGTAATGCTAAGTGCACTTGTTCCAACTCCTCTGTAAATAGTCTTTCTGTATTTGCAAACTCTGCAAGCATTTATTCCCATCTCCCCACTTTCAGTCTTCTTATTATCAATAGAAAGCCTAGTTTTCACAATCCTCCCTTCAAATATCAGGCTGTCAACCAACTGTAATTCAAAACAAAGACTATATAAAACAGTATTTCCTAAAATTCTACATGAAAAATAGCTTCAGCAAATATCTCCATCTTTTATTTCATAATTTTATCAGTCAACCCCATGTTATCTACTATCCAATGAGAGATGATCACATGGATTTTAAATAGAATTGGGGGGAAAAAAGAAAAAAAAAATCTGTCCATCCAAATACACCAAACCTTCTTCTGATAACTTGGTCAAGTACTAACTGTTTCTACTCCCAAACTGCTGCAAAGGACATGTAAGTGTAATTTATTGCCTCTATTTTCATAATCAATTATAAAAATCCATAAGCAGAATAATCAAAGCAGTATCTGGCTACCACCAGTAAGGGTTTTCTATAGGACAACCAGTAGAGCTAAAAACAGCAATACTGAAAGAGATTTACCTTCAAGTAAGTCCAAAAACTCATCAATTTTATAYGAACTATATAACATAATCCCAGGAAGCAGGAGCTTAAGAAGTAACCTTGCGAATGAGCATATACTTGCAGATAYGTGCAGTTTTACTGCTGTTTCAACATCTTAAATACCCACTTGTGTCATTAATGACAGTGTGGGGAGTGTTTATGTGCAAGGGACCTCAAGAAGCCTGCAGTCCAACCTCCCATGCCTAAGTTTCTCCTTGTTCCTAGCCTGAATTTCTCCTGTTTCAATTTATTCCTGCTCTATCTTTTCTTCCCACTACGAAGAACTGAAGTGTTTGGCTACATCTTTCAGACTACCTCCCTGTAGGTGCTACCAGGTTCCCCCAAAAACCTTTTTTTTAAGCTGAAGAAGCCCAGTTCCCTCAGCCTCTTCTCACTGGACACATGCTCTGAGCATCTTTTATTTCATAATTTTATCAGTCAACCCCATGTTATCTACTATCCAATGAGAGATTATCACACGGATTTTAAATAGAATTGAAGAGATATAAATTTCATACTTCATTTTGGCTGGGTTTAAATTTAACAAGTAGTAAAAACTTATGTTGGATGATCTCCTTTGGAGCAATAACCTATGTTTTTTCATTTTATAAAGGAAATAAATGCAGTAACCTCCGCAATAAAACACCACCAAAAATAAGCATTCTGTTTGATAGACTCTCCTTGCTGATCTGACCAAAGTTTTTCTGTTAGGTATTTATACAAATTAATGACATCAGTGATACTTGCATTGCATGTAAATATTTTCTCATTAAAAGGCAATGTTTTCTTTGACTAATAAAAGAGTGTAGGTACACAATATCCTCTCCAAAGTTTAAGGAGTCCATCAAACAGACATGCAAGATTCATAAAATGCATTTCAGCAACTACCACACTGTAGTGTTAATTTTAATTTTAATTCAATTTTAATTGAAAATTTTGAAAAGCAAAAAGCAGCAGGCAGCATTTTACTAGATGGTATTATTATGTCACATCATTTGTCAGATAATCAGTGCTTAAATAGTAAGTTTTGAGAGAATGAAAAAAATGAAAGTTCTTTTATAAAGTATTTCTGAGCAAATGTTCCCAGCTGCTTGTAGAAAGAAAACTGAGTTAATACTTCTGCTCTTCAACTTTTGCTTTGTTGGAAACATAGTAAAGAAATTTCATGTAAGTTAGGCAATTTTTTCCTTGGAGTATATTCTACTTCTGCATGCAGCTGAGGGGAATGTGCATTGCTTATATATAGAAACAATTTAAAAAAAATCTGCCACTCCCTTATGCAACAGCTAGAATGGCAAGAAAAATAACGGACTTATTCTAGACTCTGTCTTCTTAATAATACAGAGACTTTCTCTAACAAGCATTGTGGTTATTAACATGAATATTACTTCATCCACTTCATTTCTGAGGGGCTTGTTTTGAATGCTTCTGAACTGTCGTATTTTAATACAAACTTCCTGCTCTTATACAGAGTATCACAGTAGCTTACATCCACATAAATCCGACCTTTTCTGCTGGTGATCCAGCTGACAACCTAGTTCCTGGCAAGTTCGGAATACAGGTTATTCTGCCTGAAAATAGCAAGTACTCAGTTGAGCAATTTGCAACATAGTCCAATCTAGACAGGTACTCCAGAACTGACAGGTGACCTTTGCAAAAACTGGATGAATCTGAAGAAATTATATTTCTCATGAAGGGCCTGCTTACTAAAACAAACATTTATTATAATTAAAATGAAAGCACAACTGGTAAAAATTTAGGTTAAATGCTCAGCTTTGTTTGCACTTTTTCTACAGAGTAAGAAACTTTGAATAAACATAGGTAATCTGCCTAACACATAGCATGAGGTTAGCAGCATCAGACATTGACACGAACCTCAGTTCTGTAAGAACACAACAAAAATCTTTACACTGCCAAGTCCTAACCAATCACTGATAAAAGCAAATAAAAAAAGACCTGAAGAAAAGCATCAATTCCCTCTATCACCTACCTTTAAAAAAGCCTGGGTTTTTTCAAACTGAAATGACATGGCCAGCACACATGAAACAAACCCATTTGGATTAACTAAATCTAGGCTAAGAACTTATCTTTCAAAACAACGAGTCATTTCACAATATCTGCTGTAGCGTTATCCTCATGCCCACAGATTTGCATCTTACAATCTTGACTCTTAATTAAGATATGAGTGGCTGAAGGAGAGTCACAATGTTAAGCTCCTAATTTCTCCAACTGTTCAATAAAAACAGTACCATACTTACCTATTTAAGAAACTCTGATTAAGCATGTTTTCCAAGAAGTCAGCTTTGTATACCTGCCAGTTCTGATTACTGAATACAATACACTGAGAATACCCACAGACTGAATTAGTCTCTGGTCAGTGCAGCTTGCCACATTAATACATCTGATAGTCCTGCACATGGCACTGCGTCCTATGCTAACATGAAAATGCCTTTTGATTAATATGAATGCATGAGGAATGGAAAAAAACAAGCACAGAAATGTTTTGACTTCTGGAAAATATTTTCCTAAAATCTAATCATTTAAAGAGATTTAATATTTAGATTCTCAAAGTCTATATGTGAAACAATTACTCAGTTTTATAATCGGATGATGTAATTTACAATACATATAAAATTATTTTGTACTTAGCAAATACTGCAGTGTCTTCCATACCATTTTTGTAAGTAGTCCAGTGCCTCCAAACGAGCACCAATCTCAAATGTGATTCCAGGACGATTTGGAGGCTTTTTACTCATCTTGATATTTTCTTTTTCACTACCTTCAGGGAAAATTAAAAAAAAAAAATACATTATTAAAACACAATGTTGCTTGCCACTGATGGCAAATACACACACGAAGTTGGGAACAGTTATGAAATTCTATAGCGCATTACGCTCATATTGCCAATTAACTGTTCAGTTAATGGAATTTACAGAAAACCCATGGAGATCAAGGCCCTCAATGATATTCATGCATTTGCATTCAGAATTTTCTCCCTGCCTAAAGAGTCACCAACCTGAAGCACAACCCCAAGGTAAGAAGATCCTAGAACAAAAAGCAGTGATGCTGAACCATGTTGCCCTCTGTGACATCCTTTAGGAGCATCATTAACAGAACTATCTAGAGCCAATGGGTTCTCTCTCTCCTGCAGAAAAGGTCATAGACATGGGGGGGGGTGTGAGCGTTTTACCAGAAAAAGAAGGTAAACAGCAATGGCCTAAAGGGCAGGGTATGGGGGGAGGAAAAAGAGAAAAAAAAATGGAAGTTATTATCAAAAATGTGTATTTAAGCTGTGCAAACAGCCCGGAGCCTCTCTCAGTGCACTGGGCACTGAGTTTCACGTGTCGCTGTCTGTTTTTCGGAGCTCAGCTGCTGTCCGCAGAGCACTTTCTGGGGGCGGCCGCTGCCCCTCTAACCGGGCACTTGTGCTCTGCCGCAGCCTTCCCTCCGGCCCCACGGGCAGCCCAGGGCCGGAGGCGCCGCTCGC